CCTTTGGTGAAGGAAATTGCATCGACGTTGAAACGTGACAAAGTATCCGCGACAACATTTGAATCACCTTTTATAAACTGTATGTTGGTCGAAAATTGGGAAATATAATCCGATTGTCGCATTTCTCTAGGGGAATAACGGTCACTTTTCGCGTTAAAGGCATAGGTTAAAGGTTTGTGATCAGTGAGTATCACAAAGTCTCTGCCTTGCAGTAAGTGGTTAAAATGTTTAACAGCTAGATAAGTAGCCAATAGTTCTCTACCAAAAGTGCTATATCGAGTTTGGGTTGGTTCTAGCTTTTTTGAAAAGAAGGCAAGTGATTTGACCTCATTATTCACTCGCTGTTGTAGTACTGCACATACTGCTGCCTGTGATGCATCTGTACACAGGATTAGTGTTGCTTCCGGATCAGGGCTTAAGTAGGTCAGCATGGTAGTAGAAGCGATTGCTGTTTTAGCTGCAGAAAAGGCATCTTTCGCTTGGGAGGGTAATGTGAACTTTTTGACTTTACCTTTTAACACCTCCGTCAAAGGTTGTAGGATGGCTTAGCAATGTGGAATAAAGCGACGATAAAGATTGATCATCCCCAAGAAACGTCGAAGTTTATTCCACGAGTCTGGTTCTGGATGTTCTTGATGTCTTCCATTTTTGTATCCAAAGGTTTAATTCTACGTTTGTCGATCAAGTGACCTAAAAACTCTAAACTCTCAACTCCAAAACTACATTTGGATGGGTATTTTTGAAATCTTTCGAATAATTGATATAGGTGATCAGTGTGTTCATGAAGCGAACTGCTAGCTATTAATACGTCATCAATATACACGAAAACAAAATATAGGCCTTTAGTGACCTCATCCACAAATCGTTGAAATGTTTGTGAGGAGTTCTTTAATCCAAATGGCAACCAACGCGGTAGTAGTGTGGTGGACCAAAAAGTATAATAACCAAAAATTAGCGATAAAGTTATTACGTCCAAAAATTAATGTAACAATAACAATTTATAAATTAGCAACACAAATTAAAAGTTCAGGGACGTTAATTAACTCAGCAAGTCGTTGCGTATTCCGTTGAGTTTTGGTCCCAAAAATCCACAATTATAAATGAGTAATAATTCCAATGAGGCCAATATAATTCCAATAAGTTTCTTTGACGTAGGATGTGATAGAAATGGCACAGCAGTCTAAAATGTGGATAATATTCAGTTTAGAACGCAATTGACTTGGTAACGAGCGAGAATAGAACAATGGGTATGTGCGTAGTAGTGTATTTGCGAACAACCAAAAGTGTGTCACGCTATGTTAGAATTTCAACGGTAAAAGTCTTCATGGACATTTACTAAAACAACAGGTACAATCATTTAATGATAAATGTACATGTGGTAAGAAATTGACAAAATAAATACAAACAACATTAAAAACTATTTACAAAACAAGCTTGTCAGACCTATCTCCACAGTAGTATCATATGTTATTCATCGAAACAATTATCATCTTATTAACAAGTAATACAGAAAAACAACAGACATTGAATAAAAATGTGGTTACATATAAAGTGTGACAAATTAGAGAGAAAATACGGTCTTCATTTTGTCTTTTCAAAAAAAATCACTGAATATACGTCACCATAGTACTATGCAGAAGCTCTTGGGGACGACTTAAAAATCATCTTGTTGTCACATATGTTTCACAATAATCCAAAAAGGGAAGGAATTGAATTTGCATTTGAAGCGTTGGCTACACCACAAGATGCCGGACATTTTATGAAACCTAATGCGATATAACCTGTTGAAGTCTTGCTGTAGTTGACGAAACGTTAATGGGCTAAGAAGACTATTACTACTCTGACATGCTGTACTGAAATCAATCAGAATAGTTTAAAGAAAACCATTCTATAAATGTAAATAGCGTGAGTGAGTTTGGACGCAATAGCGAGGTGTGACGATAGATATATATAGGCTCGTAATTCTTGATTCATTCTTACAATCAAAGTCACAAGATTGCTGCCAGTGCTGTATGAATAATATCTGAGTCAGTGCTAGTGCACTTATCTCCTCAGCCACAATGATACACCCAATATAGAGTTGTGGACCGACCATGATGTGACTACCTAATCTACCAGACTATACGTGAAAATTACATAATTGTTTATAGTGACTCCTATTATCGTGGTGGTCAGAAGTCGCAACCAGCAAATTACGCAGAACACAATAAGAACAAGAAACAGATATTATCCTACCTATCTTAGAATTTTTATGTATATGGTTTAATTTGAACTCTTGTTTGATTTAGTAGATGAGTTCTGGCGCCAGGGCTGACCTTACAAGAGTCAGTTGTTTCTGTACGGCTTTTTCTTTGCAAACTGTTTGTTGGATTCTTGATTTTTAGCTAGCAAATTTTGCTTCTTGAGGGTTATAAGACGTAATAACATTTTTCGAAGTTTAACTCACTCTTGACGGGCTGTACTGATGTGTGACAACATAACTTCTAAAATTCCTTTCCGCCAACTAAGGACCCAACTGATTTTACAATTGTCTTTCCTAATGATTATTATTTACTTACACATACTCTTATCAATAAACCGGGTGACTAACGTAAGCTTGTCAAATCATAGATACATGTAAGACGAGTGTCGCAGAGGACAATACGGGGCTACAAGACACTTAAGCTTGTCGACTCCAAATTTCTCGATTTCTCACGAATATATATATATATATATATAATATGTATATATAAGTATAAGTACATGTACAAATAAGTGTTTGCTTTAGGTCCTGCTCTGTTTATGTTTGGCAATAAATGTCCTTGTCAAACAACTTATCATAATTAAAGCTCCAGTGAGACTATAACTTATGGATGACCTGTGAGCGATGTTAAACTGACGTTGAGAGTGTCCACTTAATAACCGGGATCAAATGGGGGTTATAAGCCTGTGCTATGAATTATAATTTATAGTTAATGTTTGGAAATAGATTTCGGGTTCTCATCACAAATTAACATTAGCTGTAATCCCAAATGGAAGAGTGAATTTTGAGCCGAAATCCGAGACCTGTTATTTTATACGTGATTGGTTTGTCCATAAATTATAGTCTCGCCAAATCTTATATTTCAGCAAAATACAAAACTACGCGTAATTGTAATCCTCTCACCAATTAGTATTCAAGTTGGTTGCATTACCAGATAACTTATATGACCCTCGGTTAATTTTATTTTAGTACTTACCTGCACATTTGACCAAGATCATATCAAATTAGTGGTCTTGAACTGTAATAAGCGTCTTAAAACCTTGTCATGTCAGATTTGTCCACAAAAGCCTTACATAGCCACTCAGTTTGACGCTTTTAAGAGAATGACTAATTTTTAAGTCGTGTTACAAATGGAATCGGAAATTTCTTGATACTTATTCTTGGAATTATTAATAGATCGAAAAGCACCATGGAGTCCATATTTCTCCTAAAATAAGGCGAAATTACCAAGTTTTAGTATTTTTTAAAAATCGTCCTACCTAAATTTCTAGATTCGCCTACCAATGACGCGTCATTAACTTATCAGCAATGTTCTTCCTAGTTAGTGTCCTTAAATCCAACTATATGTAGGACTGATTATCTCATCACTCACACAGTGTAATATTTTGTGGTATCAGTACATAATGTAAGCTAATGAATATGTGATGTACCTGCTTATTGTACAACCTTGTGATGTTTGTCACTTCGTAACGTTTCAGCTGCAGTTGTATGTTATAGTTTAGTGGCCCATTTAGACCCGAATAGTATGATGTCGGGGTGTTTTGCAAATCAAGGTTTCCAATCCTAGTTCACTTCCAATTATTTATTTATTTGAACTCAAGTATTGGTACAAAGGGGCACCAAATACATATGCGCCACACAAGTCTCTTGATTCGTGTTTGGGCTGTGCTAAGGCTCGGGTGCCCAAACCGAAGCAGGTGGTTTCCATAGGAGGCCACACCCGGAGCCTTCGATCTGAAGGTCTGATCCACAAGGCAGTGGAGCATCGTAAGGAGATGCAGTCTCATGGTAGCCGATGGCCAACGATTGGTTCATACGCCGTTTGTTCCTTCAGGATACTGAAGTAAATGTGCACCATTGGTTTGGAATGAGGGTTTTCCAACTCTCCATGTCCACCAACCGGTTAAAGTGCCAGACATTCGCTTCTCGTCCTCTCAATTTCGTAAACAACACTCCCGCCATGAGAAGGCAGTGAGTAGGACTTCCCTGGCAGAGGCTATATACGCGTGGCCATGTGAGAGCATTTCAGTCAGAGATGTACAATACTACCCAGTTGTTATCCTAAAAGATTTCCTAGTATTTACATAATAACTTACGAGTTACATCACATTAAACTAGTGAATTTTGTTTTTCGTTTATATGTATTGTTGACATGTAGCAGTCGTACATACAGATGAAGTTACGTGGTTCATTATGAGAAGAGTCGAGTGATATGGATTTCCGGATGATGTTTCCCAAAAATTGCATAGTAATTATCTCATGTTCTAGTCAAATTCTCGCTCTGCGCAAGAGTAAACGAATCTAGAAAACGCACTGCGATATCTGTCGTCAAAGCATCTAGTTTTAGGCTCACAGACCTCTGTATTAACTGCTAGTAACTTGACGAACTGCTGATAGGGAAACAAATGTTTTACAACTTATGCCACAACTCAACCACGTAGTTTCAGTGGAGTTCGTATTCTAACAATGTTGGGTGTAGCTGCCGGGCTAAACAAGTCTTCTGTTATAACAACATACCTCACGTTTCTGGCAATATTTTAGATTAATTATCAGTGGAGCAGTAGCGTAGTAATTGAGGTGTTTGACTTTCACTAAGTCCTATGTTCGGATCCTGCCTGATCTACTTCGGACTGGACAACCGAGTAGTATCATTAAGCATTTAGCTTAGTGTGGCTCGTATACATGTACCTGGAAAATAAGTTGGTTTTGAAAAAAATTAGTTATTGAATAAGTGGAAATGTTTTCCTTTCATTTTTAGATATTTACTTTTCACTAAATGTGATTGAGTATATCTGGCTCTGTCACTCACTTATAATCTTACCAATGCTAGTGATTTCAACATGGAAGACTTCTCTTTGTCACTAAAAGTGATATTGTTCATTCTTGTACTATGGAAAAATCAGATAATCCATCGGCAAAATGTCCTGATATTTTGTCCAGTCAGGGTTCTAAAACAAATTCAGCTACAAGTCAAAATAATAATAACGATGCTTGTCGGACTGATAATGTAACAACTGAAGAACGACCAGTTGAAACAATCACTGAAGATTTGGAACCTGCTTTACGACGCAGTAAACGTGGTAAAGGCAGACCTAGCAACACTCATAATGCAAACAACAATAATAATGATGGAACTTCAGACGATCATGTCCCTTCATGCATTATTTCGGGTACTGAATATCACACAGGTTTGTTATTTGTCTAAGTCCCTATTTTCTGTAATGTTATTTTAAGTGTGATATAGTTTTTGAATGTATTACCTTTATCATTTCGAGCACTTAGCTTTTTCGTTCGTTTTCTATCAGTTGCTAGGATTGTTTTTAATAATTATGTTTAACAAATCAATTCTATTGTAAACAGTTTGTTTGTTAAACTTTCATTCGACTTGTGAATAACATCGTCAGCACATACTTCAATGCTTACTTACTTACTTACGCCTGTTACTCCTCGTGAAGGAGCATAGGCCGCTCACCAGCATTCTCCATCCAACCCTGTCCTGGGCAATCCTTTCCAGCTCCCTCCAGTTGTTATTCATCCTTTTCATATCTGCTTCTATTATCTGACGTAATGGTTCTTTGGCCTTCCTCTTTTCCTCTCCCCTTCAGGATTCCAAGTTAGGGCTTACCACGTGATGCAGTTTGACGATTTGCGTAATGTATGTCCTATCCATTTCATCGTCTTTTCCTAATTTCTTCTTCAGCTGGAAGTTGGTTTGTTCTCTCCCACAGAAGGCTATTGCTGATGGTATCCGGCCAATGGATGTTGAGTATCTCGCGTAGACAGCTATTTATAAATACTTGTACTCCGCCTGTAGCTCTTATAGGGTTACTGCCGGTCCCAAGCCCGGGTGAAGGAGGAGGGTTTGGGCATGGGGTTAGCGTCCCCATCCCGTAGAAAACTAACTCGCTAAAAAAACGCTTACCAGAAAAAATAATCCAAACATACTTCAATGACAAGCTTCTTAATCAACTGTCTAGCTCATAAATCACAATTCTAGCATAACTTGAAATTATTTCGATTTCACATAACTGCCACTTTATTATTGACTATGTAAAAATATGAATATTTAATTTTAACTTGAAACACCAATGGAGGTTACAGTAAAATTCTCCTTTAATTTCAAACATATGTTAATAAAATTCGGGTTTTTTTTGCTATTGTTAATCGCTTAGCATGTAACGAGTACTTTAGATATATTTAACAGATTAAAAATTGTAATAGTAACTTCTTAAAACTAAAATTTCATTTCCATCACTTTTTTTTCTTTGTTTCTAAGAACATTATTCATGCTTATATCTAACGAATTTGTAATTTTCATGTAATTCCAATTCAATATATTATCTCAGTCAGCCAGGCACATATATGCACCAGTTCAAGTTGCCACACCTTATTAACACAACAAGATGAACGCCAAATTCATAAAAGTACTTACTGTAGTGGTAATAATATATAGAAGAAAGATTGTTTATAAGGATATGATACGTAGAGGAAGAATTAATTTATAGAAAGAAAGATATAAAGTAATTTTGGTCTCAAGGTTTAAGGGAAGACAAAGAGTATATACACCTACGTCATTATGATCGATTCTGAGCCATATCACCCACAGTCTCCAACCATTGGTTACAATAGTCACGCGGACTCCAACCAAGTAATCTGCATCTACTAACATGGCTCAGACTACGAGTTAGTGATTTTGTGGACTGACACCACGTTTTGGTTTGGCCACTCCTAACTTTCTCTCAGCCGTCTCCAAAACTAGTCAGCAATACGCGTCGTGGTAATCGGTGTTCAGACATGTGTAACACGTTGTCCAACCATCTCAGTCGATGAAGATTCACAATCTGATTTACCATCATCATTCCTTAGTACCCTACGTCTAACCTCACTATTACTTACCCAATGATTCCAGCAGATGTGAGCAATATTTCTAAGACATCTGTGAAAAAATGCTAGTAACTTACGAATATCTTCTACTCGTAATGGCTACGTTTCGCAGCCGTAAAGTAGAAAAGAACAAACTCTTGCTCAGTATACTCATCCGTTAATTGATAGACGGATATCTCACCTTCGCCATAGGTGACGTAAGTTGGCAAGAGCCAAATGAGCTTTTGAATCCGTGCTGAGATTTCGTCAGACACCAGCCCATTAGGGCTGATCAGACTTCCAAGGTAAGTGAAGTTGTTGATGCGTTCGACTACTTCACTCCCTATCCTTAGTTCAGGTGTTATACGATATCTATAATCCAATTATATATTTAAATTATTTACTCTGTGTTAGTTTAGTGTAATCTTGATACTGAATACAAAATTAAATGTACAATTCAATTCTATCATTAGGTTAATTATTGAATTTGAATTGACTTAGAACCTAGAACGTGTGAATATAATTATCATTTTTTGGGATTAAACATCATATATGTAAGAATTTATGAATTGATTAGACTACTATCAGATGAGATTTTATTCCACAGTTTATATATCGATCACTAATTGACAACACTTTCGCACAATAATTGGTCAGAATTAGTGTTGTTCGGTTGTAAATATGATCGAGGTATAAAACAAAATTCCATCTATCAACTGGTATCAAATATTTGATACTAGTGTTTTCGTACTCAACAGTAAGTTAACACATCTTCATTAACTGAAGTGGTTGAGACATGTATTACACCTGCTTAATCCATCATCTACCTTGTTTTGTGTCATTAACCAGTGTAAGAATAAATTGAACGAAAGCAATGAGTGACTAGATCAAAACATGGCATCGGTTCACGAAATCATTAACTGTTGGTCTAAACCATGTTAGTTGATGCAAACTATGTGGTCGAAGTTTGCACGATCATTAGTTGGAGACGTTAGGTGACGTGGCTCATAGCTATTTACAATTGCACAAATATATTCGCTCATTATCTTCCCTTCTTAATGTCACCTCATCGTGCTCCTCTGATATAGAAACATGTGCTAATGCACATTTATTTCAGTTTCTACTTTGATTATAACTAACTGACAATCTATTTAGAATAATTGATTTCAACAGCCTGAAGTAAGCAAATATAGAATAATTCATCAATCGACATTGTACAATGTTGGTAAATTCGCTTACATTTATTTGAATGGAAGTAATGTGAAATGATTGTTTATTTGAAATTATGGATGAGTGGACAATTAGTTACGGAAAATTGATGTGTTGTAGTAGCAAGAAGAAACTGAGAGCTATTGACGACGTATAAACAGTAATGTTGCTTGTTAATTCTAATTGTAAAAAGACTACTACTAATACTTAAGGAATATGAAAATTAAGTTGATTTAATAATCTCAACGTTTCTATCGTTTGACATTTTAATAGAACTGTGTTATTTGCGTTGTTTAGAAATGTATTTTGTTTTTGTTTTTGTGAAGTTCACCTCAAAAGTTAACATTTTTAATGTAGAGTAATGGTCAACAGTTGCTTTTAATGCATTTTTTAGGGGTTTTTTTAAAACTAATTTCTTTTAAACGACTTATAGACAATTTTCAAGGTAACGTCTTTTAGAAAAGTCGAATTGTAACTAACCATGAAACTTCATCAGTTGGGATGGCTAGGACATGTGTTACGTATGCCCAACCATCGACTGCTCCGACATGCGATGTCTTATCGTGTAGGAGCAAGTTGGAAGAAAGCTAGGGGCAGCCAGACCAAAACATGACACAAATCCATGAAGTCACTGACAAGTGGACTGAGCCATGTTTATAAGTGTAGACTACCTGGTTGGGATCCGCGAGACGATAGAAACCGATGATTAGAGACCTTGAATGACATAGCTCAAAATCGTTTGCAATGGCTCAGGTGCATCCACCCTTTGTGTTCTCCAAATTCTAATCTTCTAAATTCTTCATGTCTTTTTTTCTTTCCAAATTTGTTTTACTGGATTATACTCCTTGAATAACATCTTTAAACTATAATGTTTCTGATTACTGTTTATGTTTTTACTGCCTCTATCACCATGGGATTTAAATCGACAGCTGCATCTGTGTGCTAATGTGTATGGCAACTCGAACTGATGTGCGTACGTACGAAGTTCTACGTTGTTGCTGACTGACTGGACAGTGAAATTCAGGATGCATGTTCGTTTATTGAGACTCGTTAGCTGGATATATTTGCCATATTCCAGTATTGATGTCTACATCAGTACTCAAACTCAGTAACTTTCGCAGGTATATCCAACTGACGAGTCCCAAGCAGAATAAAACACGCATCCATTGTTAGCCACAATCTAACTTTTCTAAAAGTTATACTTAAAGCAAATATCCAAACAATTCACTCATGATGCACATCAACCAGTAGAGAGTGATCAGATGCAGTCCTTAATATGAACGAAAAATAAACCCTTACGTACACGTGTGCCACCTGTTTGTAGCGAAACTAGCGTTTATCTCTTGTCATAGTAGCTAGCAACTTGAAAGAACAAGCTCTGCTGTAGATATGTAGTGTAAACTATAAACTGGGACATCAAAGGTAGGTATTTCTTTTTGCATAAATGAATTTACATGATCTGTTCCTACTGATCTACGTCTCATAATACGTAATACTTCGTCTGTCGCATACTAATTGAGTCATTTTATATGTACTTGTCTGAGTGAGCTCAGCAGTCATTTTGTCTGTGAATTAATATTATTTCATTATGTGGGTAACAGGTGGAAAAATAGATAATCAAGTGAGATCAACGAATATAAAACTAATTAATATATTCAAAACAAAAAACTGCAGACCAGTAGTAAAAATTTGATTAATTCTATATTATGGTTTTCGATATCTTGCCTTTACTCTTAAGTTTTATCGATTACTCTGATATAATCCACTATATATTTTTTTCTCAAGTGAACAACATGGATCAAGGTAGGTAGTAGTAGTCGACCATCAAGATGTACAAAAGTATGGTGTAGATTTGTAACTTCATCGACTACTTTGTTTCAAGTCTCAAAATTCACCTTCTTCACTTCGTATTTCCATTCACAACAAAAGATAATTCCAAGGTACATGTAGTCACTTTCTTTAGGATGCTATGGTATAAAGGAAAACTGTAAAGATTGGCATTTATTGATTCACTACAACTATCTAATTGAAATTGTAAAGGTCGTATAACTCACTGACTTCAGATGTTTTCAGATATACCCATTGACAGGTTTCTTGTTCATAATCGTGAAAGGAATCTAACTGTCACTACTTAATATTATTCTTGTCTAGTCATTTATTTTCAGTATATGATTATGGAGATTATTAGGTTATTGATTGAGATCAAGAACTGATTGATGTTAGATCACCATTGAAAACCTGAAAGTACTGAACAGTCGTTTCATCCTATTGTAGAAACTCTTCAACAGTGTACATCCACGATCTCACTTCCTGCTTCCTATGAATTATAAATGATGCTTTTTTTTCTCTCTCTCTCTCCATGTCTCTTGAAATCATAGGTGATTTTGTTTATTATGAAGAACCAGATTTTGAATATTATACAATTGGTTTAATTGAAGAAATTAAAGTATCTAGACGTGATAAATTTTCAATATTTATTAAATGTTTTTATCGTACACGTGATATACCGGATATTTCGAAACAAGGTCTTCCTGATCGAGATCATTATCCAATTCATTCAAATATTAAATTAATTCGTGATGTAAGTTTATCTATGATTCTTTATTTTGTTTTTGTTTTTTTCTTTCAAATTTTCATCTTTATATCACATCACGTACTCACTTCGTTTAAATGGCGTTCTAGTGTGTGTGTGTGTGTATGTCTATATGCATATATACGTATATACGGTTTACATCATACACACAAATGCACATACATTTAGAGGGAGAGAGTATGTGTGTGTGTGTGATGTGTCTATAAAATCGTTTGTTTTCAATTGATGTGTCGCTACCATCCTCTCCATCCATCCATCTATCTATTCATCATCATTGTGTAAATCGAAAGTGATGTTTATGCATATATATATATATGTGTGTATGTTGTTGTATCTCGCGCATCTTTCTCTCTCTCTCTCACTCACTTGTTCGTTTGCCCCAAATCTTTGTGTTCTATTTGATTTGATTTTGTTTTTGTATCTAAGTGATTATGGACTAGTCTGTAGTAGTAGTAGTAGTAGTTAGTAGTAATAGTCGTCATTGTCATTGTAATACCACTGCTATTATTTATTAATATAACTACTATTAAACACATCTTTTTTGTTCTTTATATGGAAACAGCAAATCAACTGACTGGAAGATTTTTATTTGACGGACTGTTAATAATTTTCATGTGTTTGAGATAGTAGTATATAGTATCTTAGATTCTATTGTATGGATATATAAGAAGATAGACAGGCAGTGATAGATATGTCCACACACACACGTACGCTCATGCATACTGTTCAATGTAGCACAATGAAATAGTTTTTCCTTGTATTATTATTACTATGAGAATTCATGATAGATATTAAGGAGGTTAGTCAGTCATAGAGCAAAGATGTTAGATGTTAGATAGTATTTAATCCCTTATAAGGTTATGACTTTTTTTCAAAAGTCTTTGTTACTATTTTACAACATTCATTTAGGTGTGTTATTGTAGAAATTTCAGTTTTGAAATTAATGATTTTTTTTTGAAGGTTAATTAAAATGATGATGTAATTTGTTGACCAAATCGAGATTTGTATACTTAAGCTTTAAGGCAGTCACATATTATGTATATGAGTGTTAATTATTAATGACCGGTTGTCTAAACTGGAGTAAGTGAAATGGGATTCGAACTTAAGACTTATTGACGTTTTAACCATTAAGCCACTGCTCCATAATTAATATATAAGAGTAAAATTGTAAGCGATCAGCGAGTGGTAAGTTATTCAGTCGCTAGTAAAGTGGACATTCGCTTTTCGTCCTCTCATTTTCGTAAACAACACTCCCGCCACGAGAAGGCAGTGAGTAGGACTTCCCTATATAGCCACTGCCAGGGAAGTCCTACTCACTGCCTTCTCGTGGCGGGAGTGTTGTTTACGAAAATGAGAGGACGAAAAGCGAATGTCCGGCGCTTTAACCGGGTCCCAAACCAAACCAATGGTGCACATGGGCCCCAGTATCCTGCGGGAACAAATGGCGTATGAACCAATTGTTGGTCACCGGCTTCCATGGGACTGCATCTCCTTACGATGCTCCACTGCCTTGTGGATCAGATCTATAAGTTGAAGGCTCCGGGTATGGCCCCCTAAGAAAACCACCTGCTTCGGTTCGGGCACCCAGGCAGTATCACAGCCCTCACACATATCAAATGGGATTTGTGTGGCGCATATGTATTTGGTGCCTCTTTGTACCAATATCTATGTGTTGAAATAAATAAATAAAATAAAAGTGGAAACATTGGACAGCCGTTACGGGTCTCCTCGATAGTGTACATCCACGATCCCATAACCAGAGACCGAAAACAGGGCCTTAGATCACGCACATAAACGCTTAACATTTATAGGACAATGAGCCGAGATTCAGTGCTATGCAAGTCTACAATATTACATGACCATCTTCGATTGCTCTCAGTGGATACCTTCCTCATAACCTACAAGTTTGAACTCCACTGGTCATAGCTTTCCACTAGAACTCTGAGGTTATTCACCTGGAGACACTGGACATTCGTAAATGTTTACACCCGTTCTTGCTTTCATAATATCTCTTTTCATCAACGAACATATCTGATGTATGGATTTCATAGTGATCACCTATTGATCTTCCAAAAAACCAAGGATAAAGTGCAGGACATGAGAATCACTGTGACAGTACTTCTTGGGTTGTTCAGTAATTATTTTCTGGAGAGATTGTAAACATTTTGTGAAAGCATGCATAAATACACATGGTTAGCAGATATAATTAGTGGACTTAAAATTTATGACAATAAATTCCCTTTTGGGAAAAGAGTGACTCAAAAGTTTTATCAGAACAACTTCCGCTCAGTTACTGACCCACTCAGACTAGTAACAATAAAGGAAGTCTTTTTTTTGCTGTTATTGTGCAGTGTCTGACTCTGATACCGATAGGCAATTTTCTTGTACATGAGCACAGCGAGTTACTTAGGTGAGAAGGAAGCATTTCTGGCTATCTGAATCGAAATATAACTGTAGACTTACATATATTCGTCCTATTAAAATTTAAATCACATTTTCCACCGTTGCTACGTTTTTTCATTCTTTATAAATTGTTGCTATATATTGACCAATCGCGTGCGCAGTGTCTAATCAATGTTGATTACCACGAATTATCAGTTTTATTGCATTCGACAATAAAACGGGCTGTATTCAGTGAAAGAGAGAATGACAATAGTCGGATACTTAAAACTTTACCAAAACGAATATTATTCTGTCATCTACAGTATTCTGCCTAAATCTATGCATATTTATTGAATGATTCCCATTTCACCAGGGATGAATCGTATAGATCTCGTAGAATGAATAATAATAATAATAGTAAGGATAGTAATGAATTTTATGTTGGCAACTTGTTCTTAGTAAATAAGAGTAGGTTAAATAAAAGCTACGAGATGTCAAACTAAGGTTTAGTATCAGTTCAAAAAATCTAAACTGTGTTAGTAGGCGTAGACTTACTTACTTACATTTGTTACCCCGCGTGGAGGAGGGTGGGCCGCCAACCAGCATTCTCCATGAAACCCCAACCTGGGCAATCCTTTCCAGTTGCTATTCATCCTTTTGATGCTTGCTTCCAATTCCTTGTTCTTCTTTTTTTCTCTTTCTTACCTAATTTGTTTCACTTATGAAACTGATATATGACATTGAGTGGAAAATATGTTTTGTAAACAATATATGATGTTCACTTCATCCATATTATGTAATTTATACAGAGACAATAGTAAAAACGTTAATCTACTTTCTTGATTTTCAAATTGCTATGTTATTATTATTATTATTATCATTGAGTTGCATCACTGAATTGTATCTTTCGTTTTGGTTATGTCATTGGTTAGGCTTGAAATGTTCAGAGAATATGTATATAGGTACTCAAAAATATTTCTTTTATCATTTTGTTCTTCTATTTGTTATGAATAGATATTTGCTCGTGAATTATTTGTCTCTGAAGTTCAAGAGACTTTACCAGCTAAACAACTTCGTGGTTTATGTAAAGTGAATTATTTACCCGATTTAAAAACTGCATTATCTACATTTTCTCCAGAAGAAGATGATAGTTTTTTCTATGTATTTGCATATAATCCTGAAACTCGTCGTTTATCGAAAATCCGTGCAGAAATACGAGTACGTTAATCAGTTCATATGATCTCTCCTTTTTTTCTTCTTTGATGGAGTTTTGTTCTCTGAACTGAATGGTTTGGTTTCTTTTTTGAATACAATATCTTTTATTTATTTGTTCATGTTTGCACAGAATATTGTAATACATCAATATAAATTATGAAATACAAGTGTTTGTAGCGTTGTACATTAAGTGTCTTTTCTGTTGCTTAGTCCATATAAACAAATGATTTCTATCACTTAATTTGTAGTTTGTGTAAGTTTGTTTGCGAAAATCTATTAAATGCTTGACACATATTCCATACCTGTCGATTATACGTGCAAGGAAACCAGAGATAATGTTACTACCAAAGAAACCAGATTAACGTGATTTGAAAATCACTGTTCTTCAGTTTTATATAACTTCGGCAAAGAAATCTTGAAAATAATACTAACGAATTTTTATCGAATAACTGAATTGTAACTAGTGGTGAAATCCAGGACGTGGCCGACCGTTGCTGCTATATTGACGTGGTGGTCGTAATGAACCGATCGAGCTATACTGGCTGGAACAATCGTTTCTCAATGTCTTACAATGCCAGACAGGTCAGTTGAAAAGTGGTAAGACTAAAATCAACAAATCCAAGGTCTGAGAACGAGGTCATACTGCTGACTATACAGAGGTGTGACGGCAGTACGGTGTTTCCTTCAGACAACTAGCATAACAACGATGTTGCCTTCCAACGAGGAGGGTAGGATTGGAAAAGGTTGACCCTAAAAATGCACACTTCATCCCATCCCTTGGATATCAGTCCCTGGCGGTAAGGTCCCAAGAAGTAAGGAGCTAACAATAAGATTACTCACAGAAAGTTCATGTGTGACCGGCCTCAAGCAGTTGTCCCTTGTGCATTGTGGTCACACTTTCATGTCACTAAAACCACCTCTAATCCAATTTCCTTCTCAGTTATCTCTAGAAGAACCCTTCCACGGTGTGAACAACCGGTAAGTGAAAACCGCCCTCATACCTCTAACAGCGCTCAAGACCACTGTATTCAAGCTGACAATTTCAACTTATTTCCGTCATTTACATTTTCTGTGATCAAATGTTTCTAATCTCCATATATAACCAAAAGGTCTCAAGTGTTAAGGACTATCATGAATCTTTGATAAGCCGTTGAACATTATCTTTCATATATCACTTTACCAACGTATGATTTCGTTCATTTTAGTGTTCAATTATTGTATCCGGAAATACGATTTGCTGTTGTTTTCAGTACTTAGTATTTTTCACCGCCATTTCCGCTACATTATTCCAATTTCTTTTACCACTCAACTTGTAAATTTCATCTTCTTGTGCTAATATAGTTCGGGAACTTGGGCCACGTACACATTTGAGCTAGTCCCTAAGTTGATTCTAACTGACTAACACTGAAATATTATCTGATATGATTTGATTTCTTAATGTGTTTTCCCTTGTTGCCTCTTTCAGGTTGGACAAGCCTATCAAGCTTTATTGCCTGAATTTCGTCATTCTCCACCAGCTAAGTATCGCTTTGGACATAGTCGAGGCAGTTTTCGATCAATTAAACGAAGTCGCAAATCAAAAATGACATTGGAAACATCATACAAATCTAACCAAGATGTTAATACACTTAAATGTTGTTTAAGAAAATCGCATTCATTGTCACCGTATTATCGTCGTAAATACGGTGTAAAGCAATGAAGTCAGTTGCTGCTTCTAATGCTACTGCTGATAGTAGTAATAATAATGATAGTTTAACAAATCAACCAACAATCAATGATACATTGAATATTTCTAATCCTGACAATAATTCTACTATTTCAATGTTGAATAATAATAAAACACTAAAAACATCTTTAGAATTATCACCAACTGATAACAATCTTATTAGTAGTAATAATCATGTCACTTGTGAAATAGATACTATACCAAATTTATCAGAAGATATGAAAAATTCTGAAGATAACAATGTTGAAATAGATGTTCAACAACAACAACAACAAATGGATACACAAAATTCCATACAACTGTTAAATTTACCGCCAAAATTAGAGAATGCAAATGACTTTAAAGATTCTTTAAGCACTATAACTACTACTGATTATTCTCATTGTAGAAAGCATCATTCTTTGTGTATGCACAAGAATAATTCATATTACACGAAACAATTACATCATCATCGGAAAAAACGACATCGTCGGTTACGGCGGCGGTGGCGTCAGCAACAATCACAATGCAAAGAGGTACTTGTATGGAGTCCTGGTGGTCTATCCTCTGCTCTGTCTGGTACATCTAAGAAATTTGATTTTTCAAATAACACTGCTTATAATCATAATAACATTAATGTTAATGATATCAATGACAATTTTAGTAATGTATCAAATAACATCAGCACTGATTTCAATTCTATGCTTTCCGACGAACCATTAAAGAATTATTTAGATGCTGTACGATCAATGGTGGCATTTTTCGGATTTGGTGGCGCTGATGATGATTTAGCATCAGCTGAAAATGGTCTGGTACTGGCTAATTTAGCTGCAACAACACAACATGCTTATGATACATTACATAAGTGTAATTATTCATTAAGAAATGCCCTGCAGGCGATATCATGTAATCCTATTGTAGCTAAGGTAATTTGTTGTTTTGCCAAGTGGAATTCTTCTTGTCGTTCTCACTACACGAACACTAATCGTTTTTCTTTTTTTTGTAGCTAACGATGTACGGATTAGTGCATTTTACTTCAAGCTATATTTTAAGTGTCAAGAGCTAGTGAAACTACTTGATTGCTCAAACCGAAGTAGTTAGAGTGGCATCCAAGCCTGTTACTCTATATTTTAAGATTAAAAACCTTAACCACTATACTACCATTCAATCCAAGTGGTTAATAAACTTTATATTTAACCACTAAGTCACGGGTTTGAACTCCACTTGACCTACTACAGTTCGACTAATCGTTTAGTATCCACTGGCCTTTCTTTACACGCGAACAATGTATCATGTATTTGTACGTTGTAAATGAGTTCGTTTTATGAATAATTCAGATAGATGAAGTTACGAACTCAGTTATCATGTGCACGTTCGTCTTTTTTTAGTTTCACGTTATTATCAGTGAACAGTAACATTACTCTCCCTGCTTTCCTCAAGCCTAAACTAAATAGAGAGGTGTTGGGAATTTGTCACTACCTATTAGGTCATAACTAACTTCACATCATTTGAAAGTATTTTACTTGTACTCTATTTTTTCCCTTCCATACAGAAACAATTATTAAACTTAATATTTACAATTGATTGATTACTGACCAATGTCATGCAAGTCATTCTTAGTGTTCGTCGAATTGTATCGATCAAGTTGCAATGTAGCCACTAATTTAAGTTAATGCACATCGCGTGCACTATGTTGAGATGCAAGGTGGTGGTTGGAGGTGGTCAATGAGGAAACCTGCTTACGTACTTTTCGTGTTACCTGGTACTTGTCAACAAGATGTACCTGTAATCCTGAAGTAAATGATGCTCGTTGACAGATTGATAGAATTCGATCACTACTAAGAAGGATTTGACATACATGATATTGGTAACCTAGGTCCAGGTTTTCCTGTTGACTACCTCTAACCATTATTTGATTATGGCTCTACTTAATTTAAAACATTTAATGGACACTGGAGATCTGTATTAATAAACTTATGGGTGTTTTTTCTGGAGATTGTAGTAATTTAATGGTTGAATTCATGAGTCAATTAAAGCTAGACCGCCATGGGAAACCTGGAAGCACTGGGAAGCCGTTTCTTCCTAGTGTGGTACTCCTCAGCCGTGCGCATCCACGATCCGGAACGCGTGATTCGAACCCAGGACCTTCAGTATCGCACGCTACCGATTAACCTCTGTCTATATTTTAAAATTCTATTGGTTATCTATATCATTAATTAATCTCTGTATGCTCAATTATGTGGAATATTTAATTACAGTTATGCAACAATTCATGATTCATTATGGGATATTTATTTAGCTGAGGTGACTTGATTCTCTGTTTGTCTATAGGTGTTATACATTGATCTATTGACGTAGTAGTACTATTATTACCAATTCTTTTTCTATTTAGGATACACCTAGGCATTGGACAACAGATCAAGTTCGTTTATTTGCACATGCTTTACGTATTCATGGTAAAGATTTTTTTAAAATTCAACGAAATTTCTTTGGTGGGAAAACATTCGTTAATAATAATAATGATAATAATAATAACAACAATAACTCTACCGGCAATAATGGAAATAATGTAAATGGTGTTGGTCTCTTGAATTCAAGTCAAGTTGGCAATGGACGTTTACGTGGTCGTGGTCGTCGTAAATTGGGCGGCACCGGCGGTAGTGGTGTCTGTTCAAGTGCATCTACATTGAAATTATCCAGTTTAAAATCAGATGAAATCGGCAGTAGTACCTCAGTAGCAACAGTGCTACCGAGTAAATTGGATGAAGTTAAACCAGAGGATGCTACATTTGTACCTACCTCTGGGTCATCACATGACGGTGGAGAATCAGTTGAAAACGGTATTGTGTCAGGTAGGTTTGTTTATCAATATGTTATTTATTTTCTCATTGAAACTACATGAGCTATGGTACAGCATAGTTTCAAAGAAGAGCCTCACACAAATGAAATGGAGATACTGTGGAAAAATGATAGTATAGTTAATAAATAAATGAAAAAGCATTATACTCACTAGGTGATACTGTTCATTCTGAAGTAAAACCTAAAGTGCATTCTTTCAGTTATAAAATCTCTTTTATTATGGCATTTATTACAAGCTATATCTGATAATTTTGCAAACCACTCAGTTGCACGATCTTGAGGACGTCAACTGAATTTTGATGAACTGACAGATTCTAGTCCTGTACTGCTTTCATTCCACGGCTACATGTCACAAACTGGCTATCCCATCTTTTTGTGCTCAATTCTAGTGTCGGTAAATAATGAGCGATGTGAGAGCACCTGATATAAAATTCGTTTAACTTGACGATGGTGTTGCTGCCGGATGTGACCAATCCTTCGGAGATAACACTAATCGAACAAGGGGAATCCCTGGACATTCTCAGCTCAGATAGTGCGGGTTTCACTAACATAATGTAGAACTGCTCCAACTGATGAGTTGTATATACAAAATTTTACATACAGACTGTCATCATGATAGCACTTAGGATATTCCAGAAGGATTTGTTCCACTCTAGATTTCACTCTGTTTCATCTTCCACACCGCTATTAACACACACTACGTGTATACACAAACTTTACAATTACATTTAATGTGTCACCATAAAAAGTGGGTGTTAACACAAATTCATCTCAGTCTCGCAACGATGTTTTACATTTATAAGGCCAACCACGTAGTTCTTTCATAGCTGTTTCCAGAATGCCATTGATGTTTAAGTTGAAGAAGGGATCTCGTGATTTACCGTCCTTTGTCTAATGCTCTATGGGGTCATGAATTAAAATAGCATCTTGTCCGCTACTCGGTGATCAGTCATTTATTATTATAATAATCATAAAATTTTATATATAAGTATACTTGTTAAATCAAATTATTTGTGTTGGGGAGATCTAGAGTATTCCTCGAAAAAAACCGAAAGGGACCGTGAAAACGCTAGTAAACACTGGATAGAGGTTTCTCAGAAACATCTAGAAAGTGAGGAGACACGTTTCTGACTGGATGGTCACCTATCCTACTACTAGGTTTAGTACATTCCCAGAACCTTCCAGAAGCCCAAGGTCATCAACCAATTCTCAATATTGCGCTATCACTGCCAATTGTCATTGGTGATATCTGTTTCACTCCGTTAATCATTCGAAGTCATTTTAATAATCGCTAGTGAAATTTATGATACCATTATTCTGTAACATCACTATTATTTATATTTGCAAATAGATAAGCAGTGGGAACAAGAAATAAATATATATGTATTTGTGTAGGGAAACGATGAAGATGATTAGTCCGTTACTGGAACGCTTATTACTGACTTTTAAGGAGCTTCTTATAACTTCAAATTTCTTTTACATATCAACCGGAATAATTTAGAAAAAGGTAAAACCTGCGAGTAAGAGTTTTACTCTATGGTTAGTTTGTCTACAGAAATTAGAGGTATTTATAGTTTTGGATGACCTTAGACTTTTAGAACTGCCTGGAAACGTACCAATTATAGTAGCAGCATATAACACGTGATTCTTCATTGTCTAGATGTTTCTACAAAGCTAGTGTTTTTTCGAGCCTACAGAGACTTTGATGAGTGGTATTTCGGTGACACTCCAACAAAAGTCCAGTTGAGAAGAACTATCTTTCCTCTTTGTTCATTCTTGTCTTTTGAGTGAAATAACTTTGAATGAGCGAAATCTTTTTCTGTTACAATATCTAGTCTGCTTGTACTGTCAATATTTACATTGATTAACTTAAATGTAAATGAAGTGTCACGGAAAGTGGCGGAAGTTTAATTTATCTTTATAAATATTGTACTTTATTTCGTTTCGTTGTTGTTACAGGATCCACCACATTGAAAGGATCAAATTGCAATGATGAAAGTACTCTATCCACAAGTCTTCCTGTCACAAATGAACCAATCAAGACTGTTAAGGAATTGATAGCTTTTTATTATTATTGGAAGCGGAAAGGTACATCGTCGTGCTCATCCTCATCCTCATCAGCATCGATTAGTGGTGTAGGGGGTGGTGGACATGGGGGTCTGAGTTCAGTTGCAGCGAATTTTGCAACTGCAGTAGTTGCGGCCACACTTAACACTACTACTACTGATACTAGTGTCGCTGGTGCTAATAATAATCATATCCCATCTTCATTAAGCGGAAATACAACTCCTTTCGAATCAGCTAATAATATGAATGGTAGTGCATTCTCTACTCAAGCTCATATCACTTCTGTCAGTGTTAAGAAAAGGAAACCAACTAATCGTGGTTGTGTTCGTAAGTTTATATGTATACATATTTTTCAAAAATATTTCCTTTTATTATCTCCATCATTTTCTTTAGTTCATAAAGATCGCCAAATGAGGAATAGTGAGTGCAGATACACAGTACTAAGTAATGATGGTGAATCGGTTGGTAACGTTTAAGGTATGTACTATGTAAACCCAACCATCACCTACCTCAGCACTCGATGTTTGTTGATGTGGAAGTAAATTGAATCAATGCTTCCCATCAATTCATGACATTATTAACTATTAGACTAAGCCATGTTGATAGGCGTAGGCTACTTGGTTAGAGTCCGCGCGAATATTATAACCAGTGAATGATTGGTTGATATGTTTCACAATAGCACAAGTACATTTACTCTGCATTTTCGTTTACATTTTGAGTTTTAAAATGATCTAAGACATCCCTCCCATATTGTTTTTTTACTACCACTACTACTGTTATTAATTCCACTAAATACGACATTTCTTTGTTCTGATATGATGTAACAACATAAGTCATATTTATTTATTCATTTGTTTCAAATACTTATGCTGCACAGTTGTCGATGAGAATTATAGTTCTGTGGTTAAGTGATCTTCTTCAATTCTGAACTATTCTAATTGTTAATTCAATCAAATTTTTAAACAGTATTTTTACACATTGAATGTGTTTTCTAGATTTCATGCATTATTACATAGTTGCACTTTTGTTTAGTTTTACAGATCGTAAGATTGGTTATTGGTATTTGATTGATCTTTTATCGTGAAACGATTTAGTGAACAATCAAGATATTAGACAAGTATGGTTGATGAGATTGTAAATCTTCATCGACTAAAGATGGTTAGGACATGTATTACATATCCCTACCTACCGTCAACCTCGACGAAGTATACTATTTGGGTGTGCTCCCTGTGGTATTCAAATGAGTATCACTTAGCTTCACAGTCTGAAACGTAACCACTTAGCTATTCAAGCCGCGACTAACTTCCTGTATGACTGAAATTTTCACATTAATCGATCGCTGAGTGGTGATAAATGTTATGTTTGTTTATCCTGTAAGGTTGGTCGTAATCTATCGATCAAATTAAAATATAACAACTAATCCAAGTAACTCGACATCATTTCTCAAAGGTTGAATGAGGTTTCGTCCCGACTGTCTCTAACCACTTAATTTCTATATCTACCTTCGTCATGATAATCAAATACTACTGTTATTATCCCTTTCATTTACATACACACACACACACACAAAACTATAGGACTATAAATGTGTTGTTGTCTAAGTCTAGAGAGATCGTTGTTCACTGTGTACTTGTCTACTTATCGGTGTTGTTCTCGTTGTTGTACTGATGATTATTTTCTCTCTCGCTCTTTCTAATTCTTAATTAACTAACTTGTCAACATTTTACTTAATCCTGTCAACTTCAATGAGTTATACATGTGTGTGTGTGTCCTATTTTGTGAATTCTATTCATTAGAAGTAGTATTTCTTTTTTTAAAAAAAGTGTTTTGTTTTCATATCTTCCTGGGCAATTATTATCGATTCTTGCTAAGAATTGTTTACTTACTACTACCATAGTGATCACAATGTTGGTAATGATTCCTTTGTAATTCCTACTTTCTTTTTGAATGATTTCATATATGTATACTTGTGAGATTTCAAACATAATCCCTTTAAAAAAATCTATGCATTATTTTCACATCTAATTAACAATAGATTTTAAGAATTTATAACATTATCCTCTTTTTCTTCTCATCACTAATATCATCATCATCATCATCATCATCATTATTGTTGTTGTAATTATCCGTTTACGTTTCTCCCCTTTTTTTTAAAATAAAAATTATCAATATTATTTCCTCTCTGTCTATCTATCTATGTATCTATCTACCTATCTACCTATTTATGCGCCTTTCGAATGAAGTAACTAAACAAGCTTGGCTTGGTATCATTGAGCATCGTAAAGCTGCGGAGTATGAACTACGAAGATTATTAACACTGAAATATGAAATGAATGATAATCATAATAATCATAAAAAGAATGATGAATTACAACATCAAAAAACTGGTATATATATGTATATTTGTGTATATCTATTTGTATAAATGTCTACGGTGTATGCTTTTACGTGTACATATTTGTTCTGTTTTCTTTTTTTATTAGTCCTGATTGTTCCATGTTCTGTTTTTATGTGTAGGGTTTAGTTGTTGCTACTGCTTCTATCACTGTTTATATTTCTCTTCTTTGTTCTCATTATTGACTAAGTGTAATATTGGTTAGTCGATTGGTTAGTTAGTTAGTTAATTACTACAATTACCAATATTTTAATCTAATTCTGCTTGTCTCTTTCTATCATTTACCATTTTTTTTTGAAAAGAAAAAAAATCGTTTCACAGTTGTTTTTTTTTATATGCGAAGCGTTTTTCTCTTGTCAATCAATGTCTTTCAATGTATCAATATTGATGTATATCAATGTGTGTGTTTATTTGAGTAAATGCTTTTTTCATTGTGGTTGATTATGCGTTTATTAGTTTTATGATTGTGTAATGAGATTCATATATGCGCGAAACCAGTAGGCCCTGGGTTCGAATCTCGCAGGGGGCGAGGTCGTTGATGCGCACTGCTGAGGAGTCCCACAATAGGACGAAACGGCCGTCCAGTGCTTCCAGGTTTTCCATGATGGTCTAGCTTCAATTGACTCATGATCTTAACCATTGAGATTCATATGTATTGGTTGTTTCAATATTCTCATTAATGTTTAGGACTGTAATTAATCCGGTCTCTTATCGGCCTATATGCATTCTATGACTAGATGTTGTCATTAATTCGGAAGCACTATAAGCAGACATGGATAGTGGCTAGTAGTGAAATCCATGACGCGCGTCGTTTCGTTCTATTCGAGATTCATACTAAGCTGGATACACATGCTTCCCAGAGTTGATGTTCATCGAGGGACTCGAACCCAGTACTGTTCGTTCCAAACATTAACGCCTTATTCCCTTAGCTAATGAGTCCAAATAGCCACTGGCTTGTGCAATAAGGTGAATAGTGAGAATTGATGGCATTGTGTTCAATCGATAACCGATTATTACCGTTAATCAATATAGAGTTATCAGCTAATCAGTCGATTGACCGATTAACTGACTATATGTAATAGATTAAAGTTGATGCAAACATCCAGTGCATATGATGCATTCCGCTGCAATTATCCGGTTTGTTTCCTCTCCTCTCTACAAACTCATTTTCTTTTACAAATAAATTTGTAATAGGTTAAAAACAGTGACCACAAAAACTACTGTTTTATCAATCGGTTATTTATTGATTATTAATACTGATCGCTTGGCCATTGATGTTTCTTTACATTAAAGTGTTTGCAAGTTGGATGTTTCCATTTGTTGTCGTTTTTGTTGTTGTTGCTGTTTTCACTGTTATTGTTTTCAAACTACAAGACATGACTTGTGAATAAGTGAATTAATTCCAGTTTTGTTGGAATTCGATATGAAATCGTCAAATTTTCAAATCCCTCTACCACTATAGGATTTGAATAGACAATTGCATCTGTGTGCTAATATGGTGTGGCGAATCGAACTGATGTACGTACGTACGAAGTTCTACGTTGTTGCTGACTGACTAAAATTTTCTAAATAATTTTTATTTCATGATACAAACAGTAAGAGAAATTTGTTAAAATCTTATACTGCCATGGATTCTGCATTGTAATACTGAATAAATTGTTAAGAATTTGTAATGATTACCATTATTATCATCATGTATCTGGGAGGGGGGGTAGTTTCACCGTATTCATTTATTTATTTATTCATAATATTATTACGTAATAATTATGTTTTTCTTTCTCTATATTTCATTATCCCATTTTTTACAAGTCAATTATTCAAAATCAACATTGATTAATGATGATAAATCAGAGTCGATTGATCCAAGTCATCCTGAATCAGAAATTGAAGAGAATTATGATTTAGGTAAAAAAAAAAGAAAATGTGATAATTTTGTTTACTCTCTTAAAAATTGACAACAACAACAAAGAAAAATACTGTTTCTTCATAGTGTTTATGTAATTTAATCTCTATATGATTATAGAAAACATTAATTATGAATTGGTTTATCATCTTTTTGCCAATGACCTCCTTGATCTATAACACAATTACTATGAATAATGACCAGAAGAATCTTTGATTCCATGAACTTCTTTTAACCCCAAACAGGCAGTGAGAAGATGAATATAAAAAAAGGGGTGATAAACTCTTTCATTCTGTATTTGTCTCTACTATGAAGATTCAAAAACTGCATAGGTTTATATGTCATTAACTGCATAGTCACACAGTACCACAAACAAGAAACTATAATGTGTATGTGACCAAACCATAAATGATATAGATAATTCCATAATTAATTAACGATAATCTTAGTCAGTCAGATAGTCATACGCAACATAGAACCTGTCAGATATGTGTACATCAGTTCAAGTTCCCACACACCAATAACACTAAGATCAAATTGTTAGGGGAAATCCTAGGGCAGTACAAGGTGGTGAAAGTATTTGGTGGTAGTAGAAAAGATTAAGCATAGAAGATACGATTCGAAAAATTGTGGATTTTTGGGATAAATATATTTACGATACAATTAAAAAATGAAGATCTAAGGGAAGGTAACGAGTGAATGGAACTGCACCATTTTGAAAAAGATTTTGAGCCATGCCATTGAAAGTTTTCAGTCATTAGTTCTGATAATCTGAATCAGGTAGTCTGCGTTTACCTACACGAGCCAAACTAAAAAGTCGATAACTTTATGAACTGATTCCATATCTTAGTTCGGTCGCTCCTACTTTTCTTCCAATTTATCCATACATCAAACATTGTCGCATGTCTAGACAGTCGATAAAGATTCACTGCTTCAATTAATTTACCGTTCTTACCTAGTACTCTACTTCTAACTACATAGTTGCTAATTCGGTGATCCTAAAATACACGAGCAATGGTTCGATAATTTAGGGACAATAAAATTTATATCAAAATCTAATGAGCCAAACAGAGGCTTAGAATATGAGTAATATAACGATGACTATAATCCCCTTCTCCAAATATCCGCTTCAATCTAAAATCTACCAATTCGTCATTGTGAACTGTATTTATTTTTTTTTATTTGAACACATAAATATTTGTACAAATGGGCACCGAATACATATGGACTACACAAGTCAGTTGATTTTTGTGTTGGCAATGATACTGTCTGGGTGCCTAAACCGAAGCAAGTTGTGAACTGTAACTAAAATTGAATGCATTAGTTTTAAGCATTGATCATTATAACTTATCATTGTGTAATATAAATAGTGTTTTTCCTTATTTGTAATTCAAAGTTACATAAAACCTGATGCATTAAATTGTACCCTGTCCGATATCAATATTAAATAGAACTGTTCAATCACCAATTAAATAATCTGTACAACTGTTTTTGTTGGTCATGCGATTGGAAGTAATAAAGATGATATATGTTTCTCTGTAGTGTTAAATAGACCGATTTCCAACTCTGAGGAAACCTGAAATCAACAGTGGTATTCAATATCAGTGACTGACATCATTTCTTTGTAAAAGTATATGTTCAAAACATTTCATACATTTTTTTCTGAATTCTCTATTTAGCGAACACTGGGCATGATGATGTTGATATACCTGTGACATCTGGTGAGAAAGCAGAAGAAATTACACCGGTTTCTACAACATCAAATGCAGATTCACTGTCAACTAGTCGATCACGTAAACGTGTATGTAGAAATTGTTCTGTGGAGTTGGCATCTACTGGGGAAAGTCCGCCTTCACCCATGGTATGTATGCAAAAATTACATTTTATTGTATTTCTCCATAACCGTAGCTTTCATTCTGATTTGACGATCGAGGTTGTATATTATGTTGACCCAATCGGACTATATTGAGTGGTACACTTGTTTGTTTAGGTCTTAACATATCAGGCAGGTTGGTTTTAGATTGATAGAACTAAAAGCAGTAAACTCATGATCCGATGAAGTCGTACTACCGATTGTCCTATGGCCTGATTGCAGTGCTGTGTTTCCTTCAGACAATCACAATTTGCCTTCTAACAACACAAGGAAGGAGTTAGAATAGTTTGGACAGGAAACCTTATGGTGTCCCATGGATTTCGATCTCCGACATTAAAACGTCTATAGTACAGAAGGATAACTCATCTAAAACTACTCTCAAAAATGTCACATCTTGTCCGTCCTAAGCAGTCCTCCTTTAAGCTCTGCAGTCACACTCTCAGGTCACGACGACCACTCTTTATTCACCTTTTTCAAATACCTCAAGAAGAACTATTCTTCCATAGTCTGACCACTTGGGAATCAACAACAATCCTCATATCTCTATTAGTACTAGACTGTACAGTACTAACTGTACTACTTAAATATAAGTAAAACTCATTAAAACTTGTAGTGTGACAAACAAATGTAATAGTCTAAATTTTAACAACATTGTTCCATGACTGACGTACTTTTTTTGTGGTTCAAATTATCCATGGGCTCAGTTCAAGCTATTTGTTCAAACTCTGAATAACTTTATATCAGTTTAATGTTGAATTGATGTATATTGGTTAGAGACCAACTACGCATCTATCATTCTTCAAACTATAGTAAAAATCGCTTTATTCTGTATAGTAAAGTATTTTCATAACAAAATGTAAAATATTGCATCGAGTTTTATTTAAATTGTGAATATTGAAAACATACAAATGTATGTAATTTTCAGTATGGGGTGTGAAAATAGTTGAATTTCAATGAAATTATCAAACTGGACGGCCTTTTCGTCTTAGTATTCTCACTAGCTTCGAGAGGGAATTTCTGGTGTGCTAGTTAGAAGCCTTGATCGGTAGAGCTAAATCATGTCGAGTGTGAGGCAGTTTCCTACCGAAGACTATGGAAGATGGTCACTCATCGTGGATTGATTTAGATTAGAAATTAAATCTGTTAGATGCCGACTCAGTGTTTCGAAGGTTAAGCATCCGGGTGCGATACTGATGCTTCTGGGTTCGGGTTTTTTGTGCGAGATCATGCGTGCTCACTGTTGAAGAGCACAATAATAGGACGAAACGGTAGTCTAGTACTTCCTTTTTTCCTACGATTGTTTATATTAGATCGGTTTCACGATCTCAGTGAAATATATGTGAATAAAAGTTTTGCGACGACAGCTAATGGTAGTTCACACTAATAAGGGCTCAAGCAAAATGTTACACATTTATAAATGTGAATATTAAAAAGGTGCATATTAACAAAAGTGAGCATTGGAAAGGAGAACAAAACTTTTAATGATGTAAAATCTGTTCGATTTACCATTTGTTGGGGAAGACCTTCCTAAAACGAATATTATGGTGGAGGGATTCCATAGAGGCTTCAGCTAATTTGTTGGTGCTGCTCATCCAAGTATATGGAAACCTATTAATGCTCTGAAAAAAAGAACAATGTAAATTGATTGAAAACTGAACAGTTCGTTGCTGAAAGCTAGCAACAGCACCTAAAAAGGAAAGGTAGCAGTACGTGTTAAACGGACTGTAGAAGATTATGAAAACATATCGACAGTAGACTATTGAATTAGAATAATTCATGTCTTTTTAATCTTAAATGAAAAGGATTTCTTAGCATTTTAATTTGTAGTGAAATTCACCAAACATTTCCTATACATTTTCGAAACATCGAATTGGTCTTACAAAATAACATGATTAGCGTGGATATGGAGGTCCCACTTAGGGAAGTTGGAAAACCTTGACTGTAAATCAATGGTGCACATGGGCTCCAGGATCCTCAAGGGACAAATGGTGTACAAGCCTATTGTTGGTCACCAGCTACCATCGGATTGCATCTCCATACAATACTCCACTGCCTTGTGGGTCAGATATTTAGGTTAAAGGCTCGGGAAGTGGCCCCTTAAAAAACCACCTACTTCGGTTTGGGCACCCGGGCAGTATCACAGCCCACACACAAATCAAGTGACTTATGTGGCGCACATGTATTTTCTGTACCAATATTTCTGTGTTCAAATATATAACATGATTACGGTAATAAAAATAACAATTTCGTTACCAAACTTCAAGAATTACAGTGTTTGATGAAAGTATACTCTTCATTATGCTTTTAGAAAGCCACTTTTTTGATTGATCCTAAGATATGAAAGCAGAGAGCGAATCGAACAGATTTCACATCATTAAATATGTTACCCCACTTTCAATGCTCACTTTTAATTGTATGCGTTTTTTTTAATGATCTCCCTTTCAATAATCCATCTTATTAATGCACGTTCTTTTGAATAAATACCTTATTGACATGGAATAATTTAGGTCAATGCATATTTATGCCCAGCTTCTGGGTTTTTTGACCAATTGACTAAAATTGGTTAGCTACCAATTATTTTCGTCTGGTAAAGTTCACTATCAGCTTAACTCCCGAGATGTATTTTTACTCTCGTAATACATTCGATACATGAATCCCAATTAAATCACTTCGATTTTTTTTGTCTTCAAAGTGCAAACAAAGTAACAGTTGTACTAACGCGCACTATAATCATAGGCTTAATAGTAATGATAGTTTAACTTAGTTTTCACTGTATTTTTCTCATTATTGGTTGTAAACTTTTCTTAAAAGTATATAAATTGACATGGCTAATAAGTTAAGTTAAACAAATACAAAATCGGGACAATTCAGATATACTTACTGTTACCCCTCGTGTAGTAGGAGCTTAGACCGCCCATTGGGATTCTCCATCAAACTCTGTTCTGACCAATCCTTTCTAGTTGTTTCAACTTGCTATTCATTCCTTTAATATCTGTCTCCAATTCCTGATGCAATATATTACTTGATATTCCTCTTTTGTCTGCCTTTAGGATCCCATATCACGACTCGCTTTGTAATACAGTTTGGTAGTTTTTCTTCATGTTCGGTTAACAGAGGATGAAGTTATATATAAACGAGCAATATTGTCATTAATTAAATTTCATCATCAAACTTTTATTATACATAAATATTCATATATCAGGTAGAAAGTATAAATTGATCGTACGAAGAGAACAGATATACTAGTAGGAGTGATAAGTATAACAAAAATTCTAATGAATAGTTTAACTTAGAAAGTAGTAGGTCAAACTTAGATGTATCGACTTTAAAATAATAATCATAAAACATTAATAAAATTACGTAATAAGTAATGTATGTAAATAGATGGATAATGAAGAACAGAGACGGGAAATGGCGACATATACGAGATATGAAAGAAATTATTTATTTATTTATTTAAACACATAAACATCGGTACAAGGAGGCACCAAATACATATGCGCCACACAAATCTCATTTGATATGTGTGAGGGCTGTGATACTGCCTGGGTGCCCGAACCGAAGCAGGTGGTTTTTTTAGGGGGCCATACCCGGAGCCTTCAACTTATAGATCTGATCCACAAGGCAGTGGAGCATCGTAAGGAGATGCAGTCCCATGGAAGCCGGTGACCAACAATTGGTTCATACGCCATTTGTTCCCGCAGGATACTGGGGCCCATGTTCACCATTGATTTGGAGTCCGGTTGAAGCGCCGGACATTCGCTTTTCGTCCTCTCAATTTTGTAAACAATACCCCCGCCACGAGAAGACAGTGAGTAGGACTTCCCTGGCAGAGGCTGTATACGCGTGGCCATGTGAGAGCATTTCGAGAGGGAGGGCGGGCCCACCTCACTCTCGGCCATACCAGGGCATTTGAGGACATATAAAAGAAAACTAGTCAGTAAATCATAAGTCGATGTGGTGCAGGCCACCGAAAACATAAAAAAACAAAACAAATTTATATGAAATAAATAGACTGTGTGTAACAAGCAGGACGTTTCGTTCTATTTGCAACTTGTCAGATGTTCCGGTGACTCGAACCCGGTACTTTTCGCTACAAACGTCATCATATTATCCATTTGAGCTAGATTTCATGTAACTACTCATTTGTTCAATGGTTATGATATTTACATCAGTAATAGAAAAGTTTAAGTTGTCTCGCTCAAATGATAAGTGCAAAACTTACATCTTAAATTCCTTTGTGTTAGCCACAGTTCATCTATTTCATAAAATCTTATAGTAAGTATCTATATCTAGTGAATTACTTACACAATATACATAGAGAAATTAAAACTGATCGTCATTTATTTAAGAATATTAACAACCATCTAACTGAAACATTTCTAACCATAATTATATTTTGTTTTCTATGTTTATTAATCTTTAACTAGTGGATCATGTATCTCTTCTTAAAAAGAAAATTTATTATTATTAAGTTCACTTGGTATTGTGTACTTGAATGTTCCCATTGATGTTTAGGAATGCAATTGATCAGTCTGTTGTTGGCATATGTGCATACTGTGCATATTGCCTCTATTATAGCCTTAATTCACAAGCATTCTAAGCAAAGATGGATAATGGTTAACAGTGGAATTTAGTTTGATGTGCGTTTCGTCCTATTTGTGACTCTTCAGCTGGATGTGCCTGCATCTCAGAGTTGTTCACTGTGGGTTCGAGTCCCAGAGTGAATATGTAGTCTACAAAAACCTCTATTTGACCTGGGTTTTGTGCTTTTTAGTACTCTTCCATAAAGTGTACCTGTAATTGTAGCCAAACTAGTTATCCCGATGTTGACAATCTGAGATTTACCGTTGAGATATTCAACTTTAAAAGTCCCAACTGACATTAAATCTAGTTCAAGCATTGTTTCCTGTCTACCACTTTACACCTTAATATACATACATACGATGTCGAATCACTTCGAAAACTAGTGACCAATAAAACATTGCATTGATCGCAATACTTGGTTGATTAATCAATTGTAGATGATCTTTCTTCTTAAACGTTCACTGTATACCTTTAAGGCATAATTAATCTCACAATGTTCATAGTAAAAATATATAATGACTTATTATTATTTAACTTGAATTGTGTTTTTCAATTTATGTTATTAGCCTAATCATCATCAGTTGGGACAATTACGACTTCTTTGTTCTGATTGTCGTATTTATTTACAAAAATACGGTGAATTGAAGTGTACATTGAAAGAAGAGGAAATTAATAATCCATCTGAAGTAAGTAATTTACAATATTTGTCTGTTTGTTTATTTCCTGTTTAACTAGGTTTATGTGTTGTTCGAGTAATTACTGTTTATCGACTAAGTTGAATAGATACCAGGAAGTTTAATTAATGACTAATTAAATAAATATGCATTTATTTATAGTGAAACCCACGATGTATTTTTCATCCTATTTGATACTTATCAGTTGTATGTACTTGGATCCCATAGTTGATACAGGTACATCCAGCTGATGAATCCTAGATAGAACGAAATACGAGTCTTGGGTACCACTACTAGTCACATATAAACTTATGTTATAATGATTAAATTAGGGCAGTCCGCATAAGACGCATATATGCCAATTAAGTTTTATCAAAACTTCAGTCAAAATATCAACAACGAAAGATTCAAGGCATTACAAATGAAATTAATGAAATCCTTTAATTTACAATAATGAGAATCAATGTTACAACTTTATCAATTATCAATCTTTCATAATCAGCATAGAATCTGGCACGATTGTACTTTAATTCAAATTATCATACTATATCGTCACGACAGGAAGAAATTAACAAGTCGAATAACAAAGACATCAAGCTAGTACTAATATTTGTACCAATAAAAATGATTATCATTGAGATATATCACCCAAAGCCTTTGATCATTGATTAAGATAATCACTCGAACTCCAACCCACTAGTCTGCGTCTACCTACATGAATTAGTTTAATTGTTAATAGCTTCCTTCACCAAGTAATATCACATGTTTAGTTAGGGAGTGTGGTTGTGCATATGTTTCACGTTTTTGAGCCACCTTATTCGATGAATATGTGCTGCTTTATCGACATTTTTAACATTTTTACCCCAGTCTCTATTCATAACTCATTTTAATTCACCACCTCATATTCAATTGGGAATTGTTTTTCCCTTTTAGCACATAAGAGAATGATCGTGTCTTTAGAGAGATTCATTCTTAAGTGTATGATAAGTTTTTAATCCCCACTTTGACGAGAATAACAACTCTACGTAAGCCCAGGTCTTTGCGTTTGTACATTGTAATATTCCTCTTATGTGTTGTTACAGCCTATTGAATAACTTAATCAATCAGTCAGATGTGAATTCAATACATTAGTCAATTTCATGGTAGTTTACATTTCGGTGCGCTTTTTTAAATGTGCTAATATGTAACTCAGTTGTACGATTAATCTACCTAACATTCAACTATTGATTGATTTACAATTTTTATTACGAGTATTCCCTCTTTTAAAGTTTGAACAGGTCAGGTTATCATTACCCCACTATGATTTGATCATAACCGGTATTCCACATGATCTTACTATATCAATGGGGTTATTTTGTGCTACAGAGTTGTTCTATCTGAAATTCCTGAACATCTTACCTCTCTATCTATTCTTATATCATGTAGTGTTAGTAATGTGGGATAATTGTTGAAATGTCGTGTGTGTGTGTATCTCCGTTATCCAATCTACTGAGGTTGTGTAGATTCAGTTGTTCATTAAAATATCTCAATCATTGGTAATGATGAATTGCTGTCGGTCATAGCAAAGTTTAACAATCTAATGTAATCTAACAGTTCAGGATATATAAGAATAAAACTATGTCCATAAATAATGTTGGTTCATTTTTGTTACATATTAGATAAATGAAACGTATTACTCGAAATATAAAAAAATTTCACAGAAATACGACTATGATTTTACTCTGGTGTAGGTGTATACACTCTGTCTTCCCCTAAAATATGAGATTAAAATTGCTTTACATCTTTCTACGAACTAATTCTTTCTTCCTGCACTTTATCCTTATATGCCATCTTTCTTTTATATATTACCATCACTGCTTCTATGAATCCAGTGTTCATCTTGTTGTGCTACTAAGGTATGGCAACTTGGACCGATGTATATATGTGCCTGGTTCTACGTTGTAACTTACTGACTGACTGATTTTACTCTGCATGGTTCTACCATTATGTCAATGTGTAGATTACTTTCTCATTTTTAGTTTTTTTTTTCTTCATAGAAAACAGATCTGTTAACCATTGAATACTTTTTTTCTAGGTTCTTTTCATGTTACAATTATTGATTTTTTTATTTTGTACATTTTTATCTCATTATGTAGACGCTGAATTCAATATCCAATGGTAAGCTTCAAACATTTTTGATTTTGCGTATGATGTTTTGAATTTAAAATTTCATTTCTACTTTTACACGAAATACTTCAGTATTTGATCTGTTCTGTGTATCTGTACTGTCACCGAAGTGTCCCATTGAGGTGTATGCTATTTATATTGACATATGCAAGTATTATGTAACACCGATCAGAAGTGGAATGTTTTTCAAAAGAAGATTGAATTTAAGAGAACAGAAAGAGATTGGAAGTATCATGAAGAATGTAAATGACAACTGATGGAAGATGCGCAAATGAAGTATTTAGTGTATGATTTTCACAATTTACAAAGACACCGTAATTTTGAAATGAATATAAATTGATCGTTCCCACCTTGAGTTTGTTCACTGTATTTGGTTTCGTTACCAAACGTGAGGCGGAGAGGGTTCAGTCCTAAGGACGCCGTTGCGGGGCTAGAAGAGGATTCACTAGTTGGTGCAGTCTGTCGCAGGAAGGTGACATCGAGTTGAGTGTTCTGACGGGTGGCGTTGACTGTAAGAGTCGCTGTCAACAGAGAGAAGGAGTGGCACGTACGGTATCGTATGTAGATGACTCGGCGTGTACAACAGTAATTCATTTGTTGTAAAACTAAACAGTAAATGTGAGCATTAGTATGCAGTCCGTATTGCCAGAAACATCTGATCTGGCTACAGATAGTATCTAAAACACTTATTTGTCATTGAGTGTACTTTGATGTGATTCAGGCCATATAGTCGTCTGGCAAGTCTATTTGTGTAGCGTTCTCCTACTCTAACCTTAATTTCTAACCGCTTTTTTGATTACTATAATGAATAATTCAAGATTAAAAGGTCAATTAATCATATCAACACTAGAATTAAATAGTGTGTTTCTGAATAATTGGTAAGTCGTTCAAATTCCCTCGTATAGTTCTAATAAATTGGTCTTGACTTATTTTTTTCTTACCTTTATTACATCCTACTTACAAGTAGTCAAAATGTATACATTTGAAATATTTCACTTCTATTTTATTTACCGTTATTATAGATGGAAAGCTTCAAAAGAAAGAATCAAATGATAGGAATCTTGCAGACACCATTGAAGAAGATGAATTAGATGTTAGACATGGAATGAAAGATGATCCTTCAAGTGAAATCACTGTTAATCCCGTGTTGGATGACATAAAACCAACATATTCATTAACAACATCATCTGCAACAAATTATCGGAGAAAACATAAGAAACATTCATTAGATCGATTGAAGAAACAATCTCATTCTGATAATTACGACTCATCAACTAGCTTTTCATCATCTTCTTCATTATGTTCGCTTAATTTACACATGGATAAACATTATTCTACTTCATCGTCAGCTTCATCATCGCCGAAATCATCTCAGTTAGAAGATGAAGAAGTAGACGAGGAAGAGGATTCAGACTCTATTGGATCTGATTATGAATCTAACAGTTCACCCAGTTGTAGTAGTATTGCTAGTTCCATTAGTTGTGAATCGCCTTTAATACATCATGAATTGAATGAAATTAACTCAGAATGTCCTAGTTATCGTCATATGAAAGAAAAAGACGAAAAAATTCACATCTACGTATTAAAGGTAAAAAACATATATGCAATGATATAGATTATATGTGTAAGCCACCGCCTAAATTGGATGATAATAGAGACTATGATTGTAACGAAGATAATCAATGCTTCTCTATTCAACGTGAGTGAATATGTTTTGATTGTACGTTATACTAGTACGTTATTTGTATATTTTTTTTTAAAAAACAACCTTTTTTTCGCATTATCTACCATCTGTCTTTCAAAGGATAAGCATTTCGCCCAATAGTCTGTATTACTTAACAGACCTATGAAAGTATAAAACATGTGTGATTGTGAAATATTTATAGTCGTTCTATCCGAGGTATTGTTTACATTTTTGGGACGATTACCAAATGAGTGTTGTTGAATTCATACTTAATGAAATCGTAAGGTTTTATACCTTCATCATTTGAGACAATCTGATTTTGTGTTGGGTGTACATAACTACTCTCTACTGAGGTGCTTACTGCTGGCTGAAGTAGAAATAAGCGTACAAAATAGCAGTAGGCAACCTGACACTAGTCTATAAAATCAATAACTATTGTCTTCGAATCTGTCTGTATAAATCCTCAAGTTTCTACTTGTAGGACATAACAGATAATGGGATCAACAGGATTAGACATTATACTGAGCATCCAATTAATGGACTAAAATAGAATACCATAATTAATCATGTAGGACTCTCTTAAGATTTAATGTTGTAACCGAATATTTCTGTCTTCGATTATTCGCCAACCACTACCTACATTCATTATATATACACCATCTTTATGTTAAATCGCGATAGAATTTCAGTCTTCTGGTTTAGAAAGCGAATATTATGCTAAACGTTTGAGAAAATTCGTTTTAATACAATATTCAAAACGGATGATATACGATTCGATAATTGTTACTTCCGTTCATAACCTTATATCTGATTAAACTACAGAATATCGAACGATGAAAACTTGGCCCTTTATTGTGAATTGTTGACTTTTCAATGAAATATCACTCTTCACAATATGCGCATTTCTAAACAGTCTAAAATTACAGTGAAATAGTTATTAAGTGATTGGGTCAACAACAAAATATAAGTTTTATTGATATCACAAACTGATCTATGTTGAACAAATATTGAAGACCTGAAGCAATGAAAGTTTATTTTGTCTAAGTCTGGGACTCTTTAACAATGTTCGTCCACGATCCTGTAACCGATAATTAAACCCTGAACTGGTTACGTCAGTTTCTGTAAAGTCACATACTAGAAAAAATCGATCATTCAGTTCTTCCAGGTTTTCAATGATTTTCTAACTTGAGTCTGTTCACGATATCAATAAAATTGAAGTCTCTACAATTGTAAACTAAGGGCAGAGACTTTCCATTAAGGTTGTTCCATTTATCTATTAGTCAGCCAATCGTAATCAACAAATAACCTGCCACAGTTAGTCGTGTACTATTTCAAGTTGTCATACCATATTAGCACAATGAGTTAAATTAACAGGTTGAACGGCTAAATAAATGTAATAGCAATGAGATTGCGTAAGATACGTTTTGAATTTGTTTGTTAGTCAATGGTTACGTTGTTCAACCTTCACCCAGTAAGTGGTCGGTACAAATCATACTCTAATTATTCTTCGATTTAATTAACCGGTTAGTATCACTAAACATCATGTATTTATTGTGTAACTTGAAGTTAAGTACACTACCATGTATATTTTGTAAATGAACCCTTATTTAGAACCATTGTTTTTTTTCCATTTTATTCCTTACTCTATGTTTAGCTAAGATTGATACTAATGATTCTCATTGTTCTGATACTACTAAGACTGCTTTACAATCATCAGAGATTCTTTCAAGTTCCAATCTTATTGATTCACGTGATACAAAGGGACATATTTCCAACGTATTGTATTCCAACACGACTAATAATAATAGTAGTGGTAGTACTAATAAACTTGATGAACTAAAGAAAGACTCTACAATGAAATTATCAGCTCATATCGATATTAAGAATAATGGTGATCGACAATCGCCTGGAGAAATTGATGATCAACAACGGAATTATGATGCTGATGATGACGATAATAGTATGCCTGAATTAGAAATCGATAAGTTAATCACTGCAACTAACGAATCAAATCCACTATCCTGTTTCATGTAAGTAGTATTTATGTAAATAATTGTTTTATTGTGTTGTTATCAGTGAATATGTGGGTGTTTGTTCATACTTTGTTGTATCTAATAGTCAAATTTTATAGGTGTTCGTTCAGATATAAATGTAATGTAGAAGAGTCCTCACTCCCTATTCAAATTCTCTCACATGGCCACGCGTATATTGCCAATGCCAGGAAAGTCCTATCCATTGACTTCTCGCAAGGGTGTGTTGTTTACGAAATTGAGAGGACAATAAGCAAATATCCGACGCTTTAACCGGTTTAGTGGATATGGAAGATCTACTTCCTAAGGAAACTACTTGCATAGGCTTGGGCACCCGAACAGTATTCAAACCCCCAACACAAATTGAATGATTTGTGTGGCTCATGTTTATTTGATGCCTCCTTATTACCAATGTATATGTTTAAATAATAAAATCCAACGTCAGTAATAAAAAAGCAATTATTTGTTTATTGTTGTCTAAGTTACATGTATTGATAAATAAATTTACAATCCTATTTATTATTCATGATTTTCCCATTGACTCCTGCCCCCCCCAAATAATAAAAATCTAGAGATGCACATCGTTCCACCTGGTCACATCTTGTACGTATCTGGGATAGACAAATACAATATTCACATACAACAACTACTCCTGGAACAGATTATCAATCAACAAAGATTGAAACAAATATTGGTTCATGTGCTCGTACGGATTTAGTATATTGTGGCAGAGGATTAGATGATATTTCACTGAATAATCGAGAATTTTGGAATATGCAAAAATGTAATTTATTCACAAAATATGCTGATACAGCTATTGGACCTGGTGTTAATCTTTATCTTTCATCATCTCTACCAAGTACTTTGGATAATTCAATAAATGTAATCAGTAGTGAATCAATAACTAAGTCGGAAATATTAAATTTAACTTCACCTAATGTAAGTTGACCTGTTATCTCGATATATTTTGTATGATTACGTAATAATGACCGAAGAATTGAATTTATGAATATATCAGGTAAAGATGTTGTTATGACTTGTAGCCTTGTGCCCTATTAATCATATAACGTAATAATAGCGCCAATTAAACAACAGTGACTTATCGACCGGACCAATGACGCATAAACACGTACGAGCAGTTTAAAGTCCTTATCGATCCTTCTTTCTGCCTAGCCCTTGCCTGTTGAATCTAGAACTTCAATTTCAAACATACTGGGTTTATATACAAACCAAACAGATCACATCGCAATAACATTTGTACACGGTCAAGCCAAAAGTGGCTGTGAATTTGGTAGACTGTAATTAATAGACTGGGCATAACTCAAAAACAGCAAATCGTATAATAATAGTCTATGGGTCAAAATAAAGCTTATAATAAGAGGTATATGAATATATATATATAGTATAGTTACTTAACAATCATAAAATAAAAATATATGTAGTATAGTATTAGTATTAGAACGCAACAGAACGGCAATCGAGAGTTTAAGAGAATGAACCTTTTCGAGATAACTTTGTATTCCGAATAGAAGTTAAAAATCAAAATGAAAGAACATTGTTTAAATAGTAATATGCAATGATCTTAGGACACCATAAAATCACCGAACTAAAGGATGGTAACAGCTAATCAGCGTTTTTTTTTCTCGTTAGCCAATCAGATTACACTTGAATTCGTCATAGAAATATGAATTTAAGAATACCACCGAAGTTATCCTCCTGAAGGAATTACTAACATGTAATAACAAAACAAACTAAATATCCTATTCTCTTCTTAATAGTTTCGTAGTTGATTTGTTTTCTAATTTTAGTAAACCTTGAATAATTCTATATATATCCACTAAAGGCCTTATTGTTCTATTCAATTAAGGTTTAGATATTTCTTGATCAACATTATTTATGTTCATATATCAGTTAACTAGTTTATTTAAAGAAAAGTAGCTTTTTTTCCAGGCAATAACTATTAAGTATAATAGTCAGTTTCCAGTTGACTTCATCGTCGTCACAATAATGAATCAATACAAGATTAATTGGATGTTTAGATTTATCCTATTGATATTTTTGATTCAGTTTTAGTTGACATATATGCAGATCGCCTCTACATAGCAATTATGAATAGATGGAAATATGGCTAGCGCATGTTTCGTCCTATTTGGGAGCTGCACCAAATTTGGAACACAATTTCATTCATCTGATGAGTCCAGAATAGAATGAAACATGCGCTATAGAATCTACTACCAACCACTTTCATTTACTTTCATTAGTTGTATTAGTTTAAAACTTTCCAATTTAATTGGTAAATATTATTGTTTGTGGTTATAATTTATGCCTTCCCCAGCTCGGATCATTGTGAACATCTGGATCGATATAGTTTAATTATGCCTACAATCAGAAAAGAATATCTTCATTTTTCATGTAAAGATTTGATTAGTTTTATATCATGGTAAAAATTCGAAAATCTACTCATTCATTAGGTGCTTGGGTATAAGTCACACTCTTAGTGTGATCACTAATGCTACTCTACGATTGCCTCAAACCAAAGTAGGCAGATTTAAGTTGAAACCTTGTAATTGAGTGGCTGATATCATTCGTAGTAAGAAAAGGTATTACCTACACTACTAGGTTGTTGTCCTATTTATATCAAGAACTTGATTGAGGGACTTGACTATATGACAGTTTGATACTATATGACATAAGTATGGCACTCTAAACTATTTTTTTATGAATATTTGTATGATTTTTAGTTTGATTATTCATATAAACTTTTTTTGATTATTCTTCATTCATTGATGTTTTTAGGTGAACTATACAAATATGTCGTGTAATCCATCTCCAGGTATTCATGATTCATCATCGACTGCACTTGATTTATGCTCACGTAATAGTTCCAAACGATCATTTATTCCATCATCAACAACAGAACAACCATGTACAAAATCTCGTCGATCATTTCAATGTGATACTATCAATAATCCTTATCTGCATTCGATCTCATTAAATGTTCCAAATACCAATACATCTTGTTCTACCATGTTGAATAGTAGTAGTAATACTATATCCAATTCACAAATACTGCCAACAGGAGCTGAATTGAGACCGACTGTCAACAACACTACTACTACTAATAATAATAATATGTCAAGCCAACAACAACGACAACTCCAAACTATGTATGAACAAGCGTTAATATTTGCTGCAGCTGCGGCAGGTCATTATCAACATAGTCCTCCTGTTCCTCCTGGTCCAGTACGCGACACATGTAAATTTTTCCCAAATAATTTTGAATTGAATAATCAAATGAAACAGTCACCCGTTGTATCTTCTCCAAATCTACGTTTTATAAGCTCAAATAATAGTAGTAGTAATAACAGTAATAATCCTTTAATGTCAACTAGACTAGGTGCTGCAACTGGAACATTCTATCCACCAATTTCTTCTCTGTCAACTTCAACTGGTATCTCGTCCTCATTATCGTCTGGCAATAATAATAATAATACTTTCGGAATAAATAAACCATCGATTAGTGGTGCTCCATTTAACTTCAACCTAACTGATTCTCAATACCAATCATTAAATCTTCCACCGCCACAGATGGCTATGTCCGCTAGTGGTGTCGGTTCTACGTCTATTCTTCACGGATCAAATTTCAACCCTACTACTGGTAGTAGTATTAGTAGTAGTTACAATGGCTGTAAGTATCTCATCAGTGTTTGAGATTTTCTGTGTTCATTACATTTTTTAATCATTTGTATCATATTTAATTAAAGGCTTAACAATTTTATCAACTGATTCATCATCTTCGGAGCTGTTTAATCCGATTTGCTCATCTTCAATAGGGTTGTCAAGTCGATTGTTCCACAATATGCGAGCAATGCTTCAAAGACAACTATGATACAAGTAAACCACAGCCTACACATGTCTTCTTTACAAACCAATGAATCTTATCAATAGAGTAATGCTGACTAGACTGCTTCACAGTATACTCGTCCTTCGATTGTTAGACTGGCTTTGCGTCTACGTCACAAGTGATAAAAATTGGGCGAGGTCAACCATGCTTTCTGAGTTCGTCCCGAGATTTCATCAGACACGATTCCAGTAGGGTTACTGAGGTTTCCAAATTAAGCGAAATAGTCGATGCGCTCAACTACTTCAATTTCCACTACTAGTTTTTACGCTGACGCAGACTATCCCTGATGTAGCATTTTACATTTAAGGGGAAAGAAACCCATCCCAAACTTTTTTGCATTGTCGCGATCAAAGTACTTTGGATTTTGTCAGCGTCTTGAACAAGTAGGACCCTGCTATCTACGTCTCCTCAGTCGATTGGTGAATCCTCTGGTAAGAGATGAACAATTTATCGACAAATTACAGCTTAAGATTATCATTAAAATCATGAACCAATCCAATTTAAACGACCGTTAAAAACCTGGAAGCACTGGGAAGCCACTTCGTCTTATTATGGAACTCTTCAACAATGAATCTGTGATTTAACACCCCGAACACGAACCCGGGACCCTCAATCTCGCACTCGAACACTTAACTTCTAGAACGCTGGCCCGGCATACAGCGGTTTTAATTTCTAATCTCAATTAATCCACGACGGTGAGTGACCATCTTCTATAGTCTTCAGTTGAAAACTGCCCCACACTCGGCACGATTTGGCTCTAACTACCACATCTTCTAACTAGGACTCCGGAAATTTCCTCTCGAAGCTAGTCACTAATGAGAATACTAGGACGAAACGGCTATCCAGGTTTTCAATATTGGTCTAACATTGATTGTTTCATGATTTCATTGAAACTTAACAATTTCCACACACCTCCACTATAGGTTCAAGACGAGTTGTAAGTAGATGCTAGTTATGAACTAATGTACTTGACAGGAGACCCTAATTGATGTAGATTTTGTTCTAGTTGACAAGTCACCAAAGCTTACCCGTAATTGATACTCCATTTAGGGGATGCGATGACGCGTCACATATCTTCACAGTTTAAAATGTAACGATGACATTATTTGATCTATGATTGACCTCATTTATAGACGGAGATGGTTACAATTGATTGATCACTCAACTAGTGACTATGTTGTGTTTGTCTAATTTTTTTGGTGATGATAAAATTTCTAGATCAAGTTGTAACGTGGCTACTAAATATTGTGCGAACCACTTAATTCTATATAACTTCATCAAATATATAACTTACGTTTATTGACTTATAACTGTTCAAAATCACTGATTGTCTAGGTAATCTTATATCCTTTAATATTACAATCTCATGCTTTCATCTAATTAGAAGAAAACCGTTTTTATGCTTATATCATTATCATTGTTCAAACAATGTGGTTGCATACTAATACACGTTAACTTATAAAAAGTTTATTCGTTCAATAAGCTTGTAAATATTAATTTTCATTTATCATTTATGCTAAATCATTCATTAACTATGATATAAATATGAGTAGTATGTGTGTAATTTATCCATGAAAATATAAAATTATAAACTGTGTATTTTAATTTTCTTTAAAATTGTTTATTATTCATAATATGTGGAATCGAACACATAAAAGTTTGTAACTAATTAATCAGCTAATTTTATGTCTAGACTAGTTTTCTCAATCTTTTTGCTTCATCCTTCACTATGGAATAGATAGATTAAAATTGCAATCTACTCTATACATATTAATTGTAACATTTTAGAAAAGAAAGTGTGATCTATTTGCAACTTTGATTAGATTATTACAAAGATGAGAATGTACAGTTTCAATGAGTCAGTCAGCAACAACGTAGAACTTCGTACGTACGTACATCAGTTCGAGTTGCCATACCACATTAGCACAGAGATGCAGTTATCGAGTCAAGTTCCGTAGTGCTACATGTAGTAAAATTCTAAGCTGAAATCAGAAATATTAGGGTTTGAAGATGTTATTCAAGGAGTATAATACAGTGAAATAAATTTAGAAAGAAAAAAATATGAAGAATTCAGAAGATTAGAATTTGGGAGTACACAAAGAGTGGATTCACCTGCGCCATTGCAAACGATTTTGAGCCAATGTCATTCAACGTCTCTAACTATCGGTTTCTATCATCTCATGGATCCCAACCGGGTAGTCTACACCTACCAATATGACTCAGTCCACTTGTCAGTGACTTCATGGATTTGTATCATGTTTTGGTCTGGCTGCCCCTAGCTTTCTTCCAACCTACTCCTACACTATAAAACATCGAATGCCGAGGCAGTCGTGGTTGGACATACGTAACACGTGTTCCAGCCATCTCAACTGATGAAGTTTCACTACTTCATCAATTGATTTGTCATCCTTATCTAGTACCCGTTCACTTATCTTTTTTTTTATACATTTCAAAATTCGTCCACTTTTCAGTCAATTTTCGGTTGATGAGGTTGTGAATCTTCATCGATTGAAACGTATTTGTGTACACTTAATCTATCATTTGCCTTGAGGTCCGATGCTTTTTGGAGCAGAAGTCAGATGTAAAATAGCTAGGGACTGCTAAACTAAGACATGGCATCAGCTCATGAATTCATTGACTGTTAATCTGAGTCATGTTGATAAATGCAGACTACCTAATTAGAGTCTGTGTGATAACGACGATACATGATTAAACACTTTATGCGACATGGCACAGATACATTATTTATCTTTCTATCGATCTTCAGTTCCATTATTCCTTCATACATACCTCTATACTTCATCTTTTCGTTCTATATTTCGAATGTTCTGTCGTTCTCATTATCGTTGCTGCTACATTACTTCAATATCTTTTTTTAAATTGATCATGTTATTTTCTTCCCGTTGTGCTAATTCATGATGACAATTTGGGTCAACTCACATTTGTACCAGGCCCTTTGTTGATAATGAATATAATCATTATTGCTGAACAATTCGGATGTAATATAATTGTTAAGAATATATATTATAGTATATGATACACATTTCTTTCTTTCAGTGGGATCTTCATCTTCCAACTCATCAGTGCCAGGAAATCAACTTTATAATCATCCAGAGATTTTACAACGGCAATTAGCTTTGATGGGATTACTTCCACGTAAGCGAATTTCGTATATATATACTTCTAATGTGCCCATATGTGTATGTTTCCCTTTCGATTACCAATGAGTCTAATTTACAAGTTTACTTCTAAGTTATATGTGTGTGTAACTCATCAAATTTTCACTTGATAAGATCTTCGAATGGAAGAATGAGTGAGTGATGGATGTAAGAGCATGATTTTCACTGAGAATCATATTCGATACTCTAACATTCACTTTATTTGTTTTATTGATCCATCAATTTGGAATGCGCTACAGTAGTGTGTTCATAGATGATAGATGTTTATATAACTTTAAATGATTGGAAAAATAATCACCTGTTAAACGAATAGCGAAATGTTAATTATGTTACTTTTATTGAATACTGAAATAAAGATAGTTTAGTAAGCCCATTCAACTATTGTATTATTTATCTGCTCACTGTAATTTAGACACTAGATCCACCATGTTATTTTCTGTGTGAGTCTGATTGAGCACATTTCTGCACATCAATCTTTAATCTATTCTCCCGTAGGTTGTAATACACAGACAATCAATAATTTATCCATACTTGGTTAACACTCATAAATATATATGGATTTTAACCCTCATATATACACACACACACACTTGTTTTCCCTGTGTGCTTGCTTCCTGTACGCTTGCGGATTTTACCACTCTTTAACAATAACCTATCTCTATAAATAAATCTCGAGTCAATCCATAATTCTACTAGGAGATTTAGCCTGCAATAAATACTCAGTTAATGGGATACTATTTATCGGAGTCAGATATAGAGGATACTAGCCTCTACAATAGTTAACCTCGTAAATCCCAATGAATGTGACATTTTCAACAATAGTGTTGTTTTTCACTAGGAATTCTAACTCAATGAACAATACCTATTAGATGTTATTATTTTTTTATTTTTTAAACATATAAACAAGGAGGCACCAAATATATATGCGCCACAATTCGTCATTCGATTTGTACAAGGGCTGGAATACTGCTCAAGCGCTCGAACCGAAACAGGCCATTGGAAAACAATAAATTTCGAGTTTTCTTCTGTGATTAAGAGATGAGGTGGGAGAGATAGTGTTGTAACCTGGGACCTGTGTGCCCTGTTGATGTATAACGTAATGACACCGCCAATTAGAGAGCAGTGAATCATCGATCGGACCAATGACGCGTAAAACCCGTAGGAGCAGTCTAGAGTAATTATCGATCCTGCTTCCCTCCTAGCCCAGCCTGTTAAATCCAGAACACCAATCTCAGCCTCTGCAATACGAATCATGTATTTCAGGCATACTGGGTTTATATACAAACCAAACAGACCACATCACACCATAAAATAGGAAACAATATTTGTACAAGATTTAACCAGAAGTGGCTGTGAATGTGGGATGTAGTGATTAATAGACAGGGCATAATTCAAGAATGTTAGGTCGTATATTACTAGTTTATAGGTCAAAATAAAGCTCATAATACGAGGGACACGAATATGAACAGTTTAGTAATTTAATAATTATATATAAATGTATGCGTATAGTATTGGTCCGTAAATGGATCCCAAAAGTTACCATTCATTATTCTTATCGGGATATGACAGATAGTTTATAGTTTGTTTCTTTAATATAAATACCCGAAAAACAATGTATAACTCATCTTTCAGCTCTACTCTAGTTAATTTGAGAAATTAGAGAAAAAAAACACAATCAAGTCTTTGGTTAAGGAGAAGTTTATGAAATCATTATATAAGATCGTATTATTCACAACATTGAGGATCCTAACTAACTAGTAATCTACAACTACCAATACGATCTAATTGAATTCGATAGGGTTTAGTGAAATGATACTGTGTTTTGATTTGATTATTCCTAGATTTTCTTCCAACTTGACATCATTATTCGTCGAAGTAGGTGATAGTTGGGCACATATCATCATGCATACAATTAGTGTATCACCAGTTGTATTCTCACTTTTTTTTCTTGTTGTTATCATTATCCTCTATTGTAATTTATGAATTATTTATTGATTAATATGTAGCTGGTTCAATACCTCCTGAACATATGATGCCTATTACATCAGTAGAACAACGTGAAATTGAAGCATTTCAACGATTAATGACTGAAAGACTTGAATATTTAAGAAATACTACAAATAATAATAATCCACAACAACAGCGTACTATAACTCCAGTTGAACAAATTTATCAACATCATCAACAACAACAAGAACTTTTTGCTACTGCATATTCAGCTGAAATGGCTTCAAGACTTGAAAGTATGTCTTCTATTTATTCAAATCAAGATTGTCTATTCCCTTTATCATTTAATTTATCACATTGTGAAACTAATAATGGTGCAATGACATCTGCAGTGAATAGTATATCTACTCGACCTACAGCTTCTGTTCAATTACCACAAAATACACGTTTTCCACAATCATTTCAATGTAATACTCCATTGTTAACTAATCGTTTTCCTACAAATCATTCAGATATTCATAATATCAATAAAACACCACCAATGGCACATCATAATTCTTCATATTCTACATCTCGTGATAGTTCTACAAATTTAAATGTTAATATTTCACCTATGTCATTAAATGTAGTACCTACTCGTGCTCAACCAAATATACCTTTTAGTACACCTATTTCTCACGGGACTAATCGATCAACAGCACGTAATTCAAATACTCAGTCATTGTCATCATCATCATCGTCTTCTTCCAATTTACAGGAACAAGTATTGAATGCTGCTAAACTGGCTATGATGGCTGGTAAGTTCTTCTTTTTATGATGTTAAATCTCTGTAAAATTCTATGTCTCACTTGATTGTTTTGACAAATGATCAAAAAAATTTAATTAAAATCATTTAAAGTTAATCTTAGTAATCCTGTTGAACTATCCGTGTCCACCAACCCGATTAAAGCACCGGACATTCGATTTTCATCCTCTCAATTTCGTAAACAACACCCGTTGTGCTAGAAGGTAGTGAGTAGGACTTTCCTGGCAGTGGTTGTATGCACGCGGCCATGTGAGAACATTTCGAGTAGGAGAACTGACTCTCCCTACTCTCGGCCGTACCAGGGCTTTTGAGGGCACTTAGACTTAGAAATCATGGGGGGAAAATGAGTGAAGTTTCAGAATAAATGGTTGGTTTAAATCGGTTTCACGAGAATGTGCGTTACGAAACTACTAAGGTGATATATGTTATCATAAAACATTGTTCATCTTTGAAATAAATTTCTTAGTCCAATGTATCTAAGCAATGGGAATTACGATTATACAAGAGGTCGGAATTTATTTTATCTAGTTTATAATGATTAGAATTATCCCCTTGTTGATATTTTGTATAATTTTAATCAGTCTTAGTTGGAGTATTTATTTCAGATTCGAACCCAGTAGCTAAGTAGATAATGCGTTGGTGTTTGACGTGAATGATACTAAGTTCGAGCCTCGAATGGTCATTAACTCTAGGATGGAGGTACATCCAGATAACGAGTCCTAAATGGAACGAATCGACTTGCGTCCTGGATTTCTCTGCTAGCCACATTTCATCTATTTTATATAGAACTCAATTTATTTTTTATCATATTAATTAGATATTAACTTTAAAGAAAAAAACTTATTTTGATCATAAATTTATAGCTAATATGCAGTCTGATCCGAACAAAGCATTAACATTTGCAAGTTTAGCTGCGGCAGCTTTCACAGAAATGGCATCATCATCACAAGATAAAAAGTTACCGTCACGTAGTAATGATCATTCATCATCATCTCATCATTCATTGTCTGGAATTCAAGAGAATTTATCACAAAGAAATATGAATATTCCAACATCCAACATGAGATTACGTTCTCCAGTCGGGAGTAGTAGTGGACATTACAATTCAGATTGTAATAACAGTATTCCTACTCCTGGTGTTGTACTCTCCAATTTTATGCATCAAAATACACATAAGAAAGACGTCGCCAGAATAGTCATTTAGCTTCAAACAATATTGCATCTCATTCACCTGGTGTAGTATCTCAGTCATCAAATCGTTTACAGTCTCCTCCTGTACATTATTCACATTCAGAATCCCGATCATTTAATAACGATAGTAATAATAATAACAATAATAATCGTACACCAACTCCAGCAGCTAATCGTATACATCAATCTCTGTCTGGTAATAATGACTCTTCATTTGTCGTTGGTCCCACAGTACCTGGAGGTGGTGGTGGGATACCTCCGGCACAATTAGCGCAACTAGCTCATCTTGCTCAAATGTCTGGTCTTCCGCCTGGTTTTTCATTTCAGGTAAATAAGTTTCTAGTTTGTTATTAGTTCATTTTTATTTTTCCTATTTTTTGTAATATTTACATTAATGTATGAATGAATCAGTGCTTCAAATGACTACACTTAATCACGTCAGTCAGATTCATAACTAATTTAGAGGCTGGTACAAATATGCGTTAGCCGAATTTCTCCTATCGCTGACAGTACGACTGGATGAAACTACCTAGACAAATATTAAAGGTGTCGGTGTAGACGTAGCAGGAATAATAATGAAGAAGATTGGGTGTTTAGAATATGGTAGACAGAAAAGGTATATATAAAAGAAGATTGAATAAGACAAATAGTTAATGTACCAGAACTATTGTGACTGGTTCAGATTTATTGTATTTAAAGTCAACACTCACTAATCTCGTGAATCTCAACCAGATAGTCCTAATCAACCTAATATAATTCAGGAAAAAAAATTCAGTGACTTCATGAACTGATGCTAAATCTTAGTTTGGCCACTTCTAAATTTTTTCCAACAGATTTCACTAGTAAGCACCGCTCATCGAGGTAGGCAGTTGTTAGGCATACGTAACACATATCCTAATCACCTCGGATGATGAAAATTCACCACCCTATCAACCAATTTCGCACCTATGCTTAGTACTCTACGACTAAGTTCAACAAAGCTCACTCGGTCGTTCCACAAAATGGATCCAATGCTTCGAAGACACAAAGATCATAAACCTGTAGTCTACATATGTTCTCTTATATCAAAGACCATGATTTAGTTCAGTTAAATTTATTCGTATTGTCGATGAAAATTTGTCTACTACTGTTTCGGTCAGAACAAGCCCGACAGTCATTATATATATATATATATATATATATATATATATATATATATATATATATATATATATATACCAACATGGCTCAGTCCACTTGTCAGTGACTTCCTGGATTTGTGCCATGTTTTGATCTGACCGCCCCTAGCTTTCTTCCAACTTGCTCGTACACCATAAAACATCACATGTCGGGGCAGTCGATGGTTGGATATACGTAACACATGTCCCAGCCGTCTTAACTGATGAAGTTTTACTACTTCACTAATCGATTTACATCCTTACCTAGTACCCGGTTTCTAACAACTGCATTACTTAGTTGTTGGTCCCAGGATATACTTCGAAGACACCTGTGATCGAATAGTAGTAACCTACGAATATCCTCTACTCTTACAGGCCATGTTTCACTGCCATAAAGTAGAATGGATATCTCACCTACGTCATAAATTACCCAAGTCTTGTGTGAACGCTGCTGTAGAGTCCAATACCATTCACCGCTTTATACATGGGACCCCTGGCTTATAGGTTGGAAAGTTCAACTTTCAAACACAAAGTCCCTGGTTTTATTTCGCCTGCTTTAGTTGAAATGAAATGTGTATCGAAGCCAGACATTCAAATTTACGCCTGACAAATGAGTCAGTAAAAAAGCTTTTGAGTCTATTGGATTTCCTTGGATTTTTCAGTCAGTTTTACAGAAGATATCGATATCTACTATTTTGTAATTGTGTGTCGATCGTGTGTCTTCCCATCGATTCAAAGATATATTTGTAAGAAGGGGGTATTGTGGTCTCATGGTTTCCGGAGACTCACAACTTTCTCTGTGGAGCGTCACAACTTTATATAATGACCCTTTAATTCCCTAAAGCCCGGTGTAATTTAGTTTCTGTTTTTGTTTAGTTAGCGATTTTATCATGGAATACTCTTTCCATGAAGTGGAGTTGAAAATCATATGCCCGATCGTCTTTCTCCGGGTTTGGGACTGACAGTAGCTCAATATGTGGTTAGGATATACATATATGGTTAGTTTTCAGTAAAGTTATCACTTCCTTTCTTATTTAACGAAACCGGTATTTTTATCATCAGAATAAGTATGTTTATATATTTATAGGATCCAGCAGTGTTGAATGCTTTCGCTTTGGCTGCAGCAGCAACCTCTTTGGTGGCTAGTGGTGCTAATCAATCAGATATGCTTACAGATACAAATATGTCAGCGAATCCAGTCGATCGATATCGGTCACCGGTCCCGTCGTACACATCTCCACAACCACATCAACAACGTTATCCTCCTACTAATTCACAAACGCAACAACAACAGAAAGCGGCAGCTGCCGCAGCCGCAGCGGCAATGGCCAATGCTTTTGGTTTACAAAGTTTACCAGCTCAATTTAATCCACGTTTATCATCACAACCACCATAATTAAGACAGCAATGTAACAATATAAGTGTTGTTATTTTAAAGAAGAAAAAAAGATTAAAATTACTAAATGGCTACGAAGTACACACTATTTGATGATCAGGTTATAAAAAATATTTCCATATTACATTTCTACTATGTATTACTTGTAAATACAGTTTGATTTTCCCTTTACCTCTTCTTTTTCTTCTTCTATTTGTATTCATCTTTTTTGTTTAGTTATAAAAATTTTTAATAAATGCATTATATTTGTATGTGTGTGCATAGTGCACTGGATGAAATCAATGTACCTACACTTTATATTCTTTTGTATCAATGGATTGAATGATAAATTCGACATATACACATACACATAAACGGCACAATTTATAAATATATCTGCTCACATATTCATCATAATGTTTAATAAATAATAAAAACCGATTGGGTTTTTTCTTGGTTTCTATTGTATGTTTTGATAAACGACAACTATGTTATCATTATTATGATTTATACTGAAAATTGAACACCATTCTATATTGGTCTTCTTCTTCTTCTTTATTTCCTCTTATTTGATATTATACTGAATAGTACAACTTATCCATTCATTCATTGTATGTAATCATTCTTGTTTGTCTTCTGTATTTGTGTTTTATTCTTATCACTGGAAGATTACTCTGTGAGGTATGTTTGCCGTCTTTTTCTTGACCCTTTTTTGCGCATATACTATATACATTGATATTCTCATACGATGTGAACTACTTACTTAATAATAATGATAATATAAACAATATGTAGTGTTCGTTCAGTCTTATTAATGTTAAATACTGGATAGTGAATAGACAAGGTAAATCAGACTCATTAGTTCAAAGACATATGAGATGTTGACGTACGCTTGTTATTAGTCAAGATTTAACTTTACTATCTGAAGGAAACAAATACATATTAATTGGTGAGTTTGTGCATACATCTCTATCCAGGTTAATCAATTGCGGCTGCCTACTTTTGATTTTTGCATTCAAGTAGCTTCTTTGACACTAAGCGTATATATGTCAGTCTCAGAATCAGACGACCACACAACACGAAATATAGTCTAAGATGATAGTGTATTTGTATACATTCCTATTTATTTTCTATAATAAAGAAACAGTCAGAAATACCAAATAGTTCCAAGTTAACATTTTTCAGGGGTTAATTTGATGCCACGAGAATAATGTACGTTTATTTATTTTGTCTTGACGTTACATTTTCCTAACAACGAAAGGTGTTCACTAGCTCTTTAGTTGCAGAACCACCATAGATCGGGTCGAATACAATAGACAGAGGTTCTCTACATCAGACGTTCTCTTCATTGCTCTATTCAGTCTATCATGTAGTACATCACCAGCTACATCTACATTGAATTGCAGCTTCAAGAAGAGAGATTTCTTACTAGCGATTGATGTCGCTATTTTCTTATTTGTTACACGCAAATGTTTCTTCAAGAAACCCTGTGGATAACCCATTTCAATCAACATATTATGTAGGAGCTCTAATTCCTTATTAATTGTATCGACTGAGCATATCTTAATAGCTCTCCTTACCAGACATTTGACTGTTTCTCTCATAATTGAAATTTAATCGGATCATTCAAAATCGAGTTGATTTTATCAATTTAATTGGCTTTGATCATTAAAATCACTCCTCCTCCTTTGTCCGGCTTGCTTATGATTAAAGTGTTGTCTTTCCTAAGCATATCGCTGCTATTTGTTAAGTGTTTTCACAGTACACTTACTATTTTGTATTGTTGGCAGATGTCCATCAACGTGGTCTTAAACCTAGTGAGTTCATCGAGTGAAGTAGGCACAAATCTGTTGTTTGTGTAAATAGATTTTTAAACTGCACATCTGTATCTAGTTGATTTATTTTATTTCCATCAACCTCTCTCCTTGAAGCTGCAATTCAATGGAGATGTAGCTGGTGATGCATTACGTGGTAAACTGAATAGAGCAACGAAGAGAACATTTAATGCAGCCAACCTGTCCATCGTATTCGAACCGATCTATGGTGATTTTCCAACTAAAGGATAGGTTACCTGGTTGTGCCACTTCTCTTTGTATTTACGAATTCAGCTGCTTCCGTGGAGAAAGCTATATTGGGTGCACTACCAGACAAGTGAATCAAAGAGTTAGTGAACACCCCCCTTCGTAGTTAGGAAAAGGTAATGTCAAGACAATACGCAGCTCGGTTCTATCACACTTGATCGATAGCGATCATGTAGTGGACAGAAACAAGTCATTTAAAGTTATTTTGATTGTGGCTAGTACTGGGACGCATTTATGTCTGCCAAATTGATGTAAATACTATCCATTGTCATCCATCTTTCGTTAAGCAGGAAATAATTATTATTTATTATTTTAACACATATATATTGGTACAAGGATGCACCAAATACATATACGCCACACAAATCTCATTCGATATGTGTGAGGGCTGTGATACTGCTAGGGTGCCCAAACCGAAGCAGGTGGTTTTCTTAGGGGGCCACACCCGGAGCTTTCAACATGAAGGTCTGATCCACAAGGCAGTGGAGCGTCGTAAGGAGATGCAGTCCCGTGGTAGCCGGTGACCAACGATTGGTTCATACGCCATTTGTTCCTTCAGGATACTGGAGCCCATGTGCACCATTGGTTTGGAATGAAGGTTTTCCAACTCCCCTAGATAAATCCACCATGTCTACCAACCCGGTTAAACCCTGAGCCGGACATTCGCTTTTCGTCCTCTCAATTTCGTAAACAACACTCCCGCCACGAGAAGGCAGTGAGTAGGACTTCCCTGGCATAGGCTATATACGCGTGGCCATGTGAGAGCATTTGGAGAGGGAGAGCGGACTCCCCCACTCCCGGCCATACCAGGGCATTTGGAGGCAAAGCATGTTCCCAGCTTATGATTTCTGTCTACGAATATTTTCAAGACTGGTTTGAATCCCTTAGAGTGGCCGCTTGAATACTAGTTATTTGTCTATCTACATTGTATCCACTGGGATTCAATACGCCAGTTTCATTCCAATTTGAACTTCTCAACCAGCGCTTTCGGTCGAATTAATATCTGTCAGGTGTCAAAACGGATTGGTTCCCATGTATTGAAGCATTTCTGTATTCCACTTGTATTTTTTTACTTTAAGTTCGTTGGTATTCATGCCAGTTTTTTTATTTTAATTACTTGGTCCCTTGCAATACTGAGTTCTTGTATATAGAACACAGCACTCAATAACTCATTATATCGACACTTGTTAATTTTCTTAAATATTTATACTCTGTGCTTTATTATTGATACGGAAGACCAGTGCTATTTATTGTTTAATCGATAAACGTTTCCAGCCTAGTTTTCTAAGATAATGTTTGCAGGAAATGAATTCTACTATGTCGTATGATGAGTGGCTAATTAGCATTAACAGATAAAAACTACGTATGTGAATTTTTGACGAATGGTTTACCAGTGCTTATACGTTAATATGCTCGAAATGTTTTTAGAAATGAATCCCTGTGGACCAATAAGTGATTGGTTATCTGTAGTTCAATGAATAACACGTTGGGTGCTGGGTTCGACCCCCGGTATGAATACAGGTAACAAATAGGATGAAACGCGTGTCTTGAATTTCACATTTTCATCTATTCTGTAAGTTTTTTGAAGAAGTAGTTATATTAGGGCAGTCTGCACAACAAGCACACATACTAACGGAATTCAAAACTCAGTCCTGAATGTTGACAATGGAATAATTCAAACCCTTTCTAATTATACCATAAATAAGTTGTGAGTTTCTCACTGATATTTATATTTATCGACCTCGATAGTCTAAAATCGTTCATGCAAACAAATCATGTGCCTACCAACAGCACATGGGCGAAAATTATTTGACGCGATAAAAAGTTAAATTGGATAACTTGGTTGGTGCAATTGAACTGATTAGTCTTTAGTTCATATTAAGAAATTTATCAAAATCTGTCAGTTCAAATGACGGAGATAAACTCCGAAGTACTTACAAAGGGAATAACAAATGATCCTTGTAGTAGCTTATATTATTTTGCAGAAAAGGTATGCAACTAGATTTTTACCTCCAGAACCCTTCTACAGTGTGGGAAACTGGGGAGTGATAACCGCCCTCATATCTCTAACAGCACTCAAGACTGATTGACTTATGTGATAGAATAAGACGCACATGTTTACAACTTAAAAATCGGCGGATACTAAAAAGAACATAATACGACAAAAGGATAGACAAGTTGTACCTACTCTTGAGGAAAACCTCTTATTCATTAAGCGCTAACCATATCAAAAAAATCCCTAAAACTGCTTTGACAACCAATGGTGAATTCTACTGAGTTGTAATTTGATGTTGTTGCGCAGTTAATGAACGCATACATTTACTCTTTATCACGATCCCCTTAATACTCTTGACTCATTACCCAAACTACTAAGAAAACAGAAGTCGGCTAATTCTGACATGAAACTGTAGAGAATATATTTAATGGAAAAATGCGACAAATATTCCCGGTTATTGTTAATTATTGTTAAATAATCACCTAAAAAACGAATATCGCTCTAAACAAATGTCAAGATTGACTGAATGCATAAAAGAAATCACCAGAATACAATTGAATGATATACTAAAATAGCAGATGAAATAGAAAACAATCGAATGTTAACTTGAGTGACCGTCATTACTGATCAGTCAGCCGGTAATTTTACGTCTGGTCTCTTCTTATCACTTCGCATCCATGAAAATTTCCAAATATTACATAATTCGGAAGTTGTAGAGGTGTTACCACTGTTTTTACACTACCAGGCTAAAACACTTGAAATGATCCAGTGAGTGGCCTACTAGTTCTGCGTTTCAAGCTAAAATTAAACAGGTATTCGTTTTCCAACTTTTTCGAGACTGGGAATATGTTTTAGAAGATACCAAATATCTTAAACGGTAGTACGTCAACTCTACTACACTATCAAAGTAATTCAATCTTTAGGTAAATAGGAATTAAATATAT